TCCTTTATATTTGCCCCAAGACTTCTGTTCTTCTCATTTTGCTTTTCATCTTGTTTTCTGATGTTCCATGTTTCTCAGGCATGTGTATTGCCATACTAGCTTGTGTGTGTGTGTGTGTGTGTGTGTGTTTGTGTGTGTTCACTGGAGACATAATTTTGTGTTTTTCTTTTTCATTTACCTTGGCATGAGGTCGCACTGGTTTTGGGGAGTTTGAGGTCTTTTTTTGTTTGTTTTTGTTTTTGTTTTTAAGATTTATTTATTTATACAAGAACTGGGGTACAGGCCAGATGTGCAGGAGGGTGAGAGGATTCACCAGAGACAGAGTGGGGAACAGAACAGGCAGACTGACCGAAATACACTGCTGAGGGGAGCAGCAGGCGAGACAGGAGAGGTCTGCTGCGCCATTTGGGATTCTCGCCAGCTGTCCGGGATTGAACCCATGCTGCAGAGGCTGCGGACAGCTTCATAGTGCGGTGCTCAACCACCTGTGCCACCAGAGAGGCCCGAGTCTGAGGTCTTAATACTCTATTCATCTCTACCGCCTCTTCTTTTATTCCAAGAAAGTTGAATTCTCTGCTTAAGTTGCCCTAACTTCCCTCCCCACCTCCCTGCTGCTCCTTTGTGTCAAGTGTTCTCATCTATCTAAGCAGCATGAGCCTCCAGGTGGGGAGAGGCAGGCTTGTGCTCCAGGAACAAGTTGTGCTTGTCCAGAAGGTGACCCTGTTCCAGGCCAGATGGTGGTCAGGTATGTGCTACCTTGTCACAATGACTTTCAACAAAGGCTGTTACCACCTCAACGTTACCTCTACTGCAGTTTCTGAGGGGCTGCAGTATCTGTGTGCCATTTGTTTACTTTCCCAAGGGATCCATGAGTTACCTCACAAGTCCTTTTCTCTGCTATTGGGCTTTGTTTTGAATCTGGCCTGGATCAGCCAGTCACCTCTTTGATCTCTCCCAGGAACCAGGTAGGGAAGGAGATTTTGGTGCCTATACCTACCACAGAGTTCCCCATTTCCTGGGTCTGCACCTGCAAAGTTCCCAATGTCAGGGCCTGGTCTGCACCCACGTGGGTATTAGCAATTTCCTCCAGGTATTTCACAATGCCCAGTGTTGCTCCTCCCCGGCTGGAGCAACCCATTCTGCTGGCCAGGAAATGTACTCCCCAGTCACACTCCCCTTCAATTCCTCCCACTCCATCCCCTCAGCAGCCACCCATCTAGTTCAAGATCTTTGTGGGAAAGTCCTGAGACTCTATGACTGGAAAGACCATCTGATCTTTCTGTGAGCAAAGGTATTTTTTTAATAGTTCCTCTTAGGTGAGAGGGTGATCCCAACCTCACTATTCTGCCGTGTGGTGGGTAGGGTCTCAATAAATTCAACTCTCCATCTCAGCTTTTGAGTGAGCCTTTCTTCCTTCAACTAGGGTTTTTGACAATCAAATGAGATCCCTGAGAGCCCAGTTTTCTTAAGGTCTTTCAACAGAGAGCAACATATACAACAGAAGTCTGTGGGAGTCCTGACCAGCAGAAATCCTTGTCCAGTGAGTTCTGTGGAAGTAATGTTGTCCATGTAACTAATATTGTTAATTTCAGCAGATTATCTTGTTAACTGACTTGTCTTTACCTTACTGCTTGAGCTATAAGGTAATTGTTTTTTTTTAAAGATTAATTTATTCATGCATACAAGAACCAGGGTACAGGCCAGATGTGCAGGAGGTTGAGAGGATTTACCAGAGACAGACTGGGGAACAGAACAGTCTGACTGACTGAAATCCACTGCTGAGGGGAGCAGCGGGCAAGGAGAGGTCTGCTGTGCCATGTGGGTATCTCCGCGGCCAGCTGGAATGGAAGCTGGCACTGCAGAGGCTATGGACAGCTTCACAGCGCTGTGCTCAGCTGCCTGCCCCACCAGGGAGGACCCTATAAGGTGATTGATTTAAACACCTTGACTTGACTTTGGCAGTGAGCATCCCCGCCTTGCTAGAGCAGGTCTGAGATTCTGCTCCAGTGCCGAAGTGTTCAACCCTGGTAGGTAAGCTATCCCAGTGGGAGGGATATGTGATCTAAGAATCTCAGATACAGCTATAGGAATGTTCAACTCTGAGCTCCCCATAGCAAACACATTGAGAATTGCCCTGGATATCTTGGCAGACAATTGGTGGAGAGAATAAAAGTAGGATTGATTATGAGGTGAAATAGGATAGGCATCTCTTCCTGCCCCAACAGATAAGCCTTTTTATCTGTTGCATTTAGCAACTTTGTCTTTTTGCAGTTTAAGAAAAAGGAAGATTATCCCTAAGGAAATAATAAGGAAGTTAAACATCAGGTGTTAACAAAGCAAGCTGGCGCCCGCCCAAAATTTCTGTATGCCTGCATCAAAAGGACATGCTGACCCCTTACACATCTCCCTTTTGTTTCACTCCTTTGTACAAATACCTCTGCCCTCTGCCAAAGAGCAGCACGGTGGTCTTTCAGGCACGAGTCTGTTGCCCTCCTCAGTTTGTTGACAAATTAAACTACCATCCTCAAACTCTGTTTCCTTTTATTGGCAGATGGAAACTGAGGCTGGCATTGGGTATCAGAGGGAAAGTTTGTCCAAAGTCCCTGGAAAGGGCCACAGAGGAGTGGACTACTGTCTCTTGGCCAAGACTATGTAACTAGGCAAGCAAGAGGAGCCAATGGGCAGCTTCAGAGAGAGTGACTACCCCAGGAGAAGCAGGGAGTGCACAGCAGGGTGCCTGAATGGATCCCCAGACCTCTCAGAAAGCCCTTCCCATAGAGGTGCTGTATGAGGCTACCCTCATGGGGTCTTTCTCTTCCTTTCTCACAAAGCCAGCCTCCTGTCCTGCACTCTCGACAGGAGATAAAAGTCAGGATGCCCTTGGTAAACCCTCACTAGACACTGTCCAACCCCTCTCAGTGTCCTTTCTGAACTTGATCATAGACTCAGATTGCCCTGTAGTCCTTAGGGTTTCAAAGGTGGAAAGCCTAAGAGAATGATACCTGTAGTCAGGTTGTCTGGGTGACCAGGTCCATCAAGTCCTACCTCCAACTGTCCTGGTTTGCTTAGCACTGTGGGGCTCCTGGCAGGTAGAAATTTCAGTGATGAAAACAGGTATGTTCTGGGAAATATACTTTACCTTGAAACAGACCAAAAATAATGAGATTGTTCTACCGAACCTGGATTGCTTAGAAAAATAACTTTCTCCTTGATTTTTGCAACAATAATGTCTTCAGATACATCACTGTGAATAATGTGAAAAATAATTTTGCAGGGTTTTCCCCCTTATTTTTATTTGAGTAAGCAGACTTTCTTTGCAAGTCTATACTTTGCTGTCCCTATGTTCTTTTGGTGATATTATAACTCAACAAATGTTGTGTTCTAGGCTTGGATCATTATAATCCGGTTTCTTCCCCTTCGTGAAGCTTAACAGGACATGAAGGGTGCCGAGACCAGAAGACTGGTCAAGGCGGGACCTATGTCATTCTCGGCCTCATCCTCTAATATGTGGGGAGCGTCACACACCCACCCCAATCAGGACTACCAAAGCCCTCCTTTTGAATATTTGAATTTTCAAATATCAGAAACTGTCCAGCTAAAAACCATTGTAAGGAACATGGGATAACTCAAACTAGTTTTCATCTCCTGCTGCCAGCCTCTGTGGCTGCCACCTATGGCTTTGTTTTCCTCCCAGGTTTCATTTACCCACAGGATATACCATGTTATTGCAAAAAGTGCTTAGGAGCATGAGCATGATGCACTCACACTTATAAATGTGGACAGTCCACGGGCAAGAAGCCAGAGATCATAGAGGCTAGGAGGCTCAATTGTTGCCTGCCTGCCTCCCTGCCTGCGGGCCTGCCTGTGTGTCTGGTCCCCTGTTTTAGCACTGAAGGCATATCAGATACACCTAAGGCTCCAAGATTCTTTTTTTTATTTGCCAGAATCAACAGTGAACGTGCCCAGCCTAGGATGGTCACACAACACCACTGCTTTTCTTCGCGTGGAAGAACTGGGGTACAGGCCAGAGGTGTGGGAGGTGAGAGGGCTCAACAGAGACAGAGTTGGGAGCAGAACAGATAGATCTATTGAATTACTTATTGTGCTGAGGGGAGGAGTGGTCTGCTGCGCCTTGTGGGTCATCTCCCTAGCTGGGGATCGAACTCCAGCCATAGCAGTGATAGCGCTGAGATTTAATCCCTAGACCACCAGGGAGGCCCAATTTAGCCTTTTTCCCACGGTGAGTGGAGATAGCAAAACTCACTAAGATTAGCAGAAGCCGTGCCTGAGTCCCCAACAGAAATCACGGATTTTTTTAATCGTGTGATAGATATTGCAGTCACTTGCTCTACCCAAGTGGTAGAAACATAATCTAGTTTCACCAGGATGTGAAGACCATGTAAACTGAAACTGAATCTCACTATTACCAAGAGGATGGGTTTTCCTTCCCCTCTACCCCCCAACCCCCACCCAAGATCTAGGAGAGGGCGCCCTGGAGGAGTGGCAGGTGGGCAGCAGAGCACCAAGGAGGCGCTGGCTGGTCCGGAACAGGGGAGGCAGGGCCAGGAAATATTAGATTATAAAGGACTGGAGCCCGGGCGGGACCCAGGACGAGCGGCCCAGGGTCGGGGGCAAGGACGTAGCTGGGCTGAGCTGGGCTGGGGCAGAGGGCGATCGCAGCTAGTCGGGGGGGGGGGGGGGGGGTCGGAGTTGGTGGGGTGGGGTGAAGTAGGGCGGGCGGGTGGCACAGCAAAGACAGGGCTGTGGGCGGCCCGGCCAGGCTGCCTGCGCCCCGCCCTGCGGACGCCGAGCTCTACTAGCCCACCTTGGATCCCCTGAAGGGCGGGACAGCTGTGCAGTCGGGCGGGCTCCGGCGCCAGGTCACGGACGACACAGCTGAAAAGGAGCTTCATCGGGACCCGCGCCCTGGGCAGCACCTAAGCCTGATGGCTTGGGGCCCGCGGGTGTCCGGGAGCTCAAGTACCTGGCACCTGCTGTGGCTCCCTCTGCTTTGGGGTCTCGCCCCGGAGCGCGCGGCAGGTGAGTAGAGGCTGCTTGAGGGATGGCGGCGGGGGACGGACCGCACAGGACCCCACGCAGCAGCGAGGTGGGGTGCGGTGCGGGGAGAGGCCGGCCAGAGTGCGTGGGCCGCCTGTGGTCTGGGAGGATGGTGAGCTGGAGAACTAAGGATTGGGGGACGGGGGTGGGGGAGGCCCTGAGCCCGCGCTAGGCAGGGCTCCAGCTCGCCGCCGCCGCCCACTGCGGCCCGGGATTGGGGTGAGCGCCCCGAGGGTGGGAGCCGCTGGAGGCGGGCGGGTCGCGGGGCCGGGCTGCGAGCTTTCGCCGGGGACGCAACCAGCGCCAGTTTCCTGGAGAAGCTCTTGAGGGCAGGAAGCTGAGGGTGGCCCGCCCGTCCCTTCCAACTAACTCAGCCAGGCCCCGCCATCGCGCGGGTCTCCCCGGCCCCTGGCCAGGCTGTCTGGGTTGTCTAGGCGGCCCCTGAGAAGGGGGCAGCGGGCAAAGGGTGTAACAACGGTTTCTCAGACCTACCGAGAATTTCCTTTCTGTGCACAGAGCCGGCCCCGCCTGACCGCATCTGGGATGCACTACTGTACCCGCACCTGATGCCCTGACGTTTGTTAGCACAGGGGGGAGGGATCCACTACCATCCTGGAGTAATAATACAATAGTTGGTGTCTTTAACCTCAGCTCTATTTAGGTGAGCCCTTCACATACCTGAAGACTTTACAGCTCTCAGAGCTTCCTGATTTGATTTACAGATTAAAATAGAGCCCAAGAGAGGGCGCTAGGTGGCAACACTGGGAGCTATAATAGAAATTGTTAATTTTTTTTGTGCCATGGAACCCCCTTCTCAGGATTTAATACATAAAGTGAAATGCACAGGATTACAGAGAAACCTAATAAGATTTCTATAAACTGTTAAAAATTTAAATTAGAAATAGACATCTGTGATATGTAATGTATTTGCTTCTAAGTTAACACATTTGAATTAAATAATGCATTAAATACCACCCTGAAATAAACACTAAGAATTCACAAAAAATTGGAACTAGGAGGGCATTTCTGGGTGTCTGCAACAATTGTTATGTGATTTGAGATACTGTGGCTTCTATCTAGGACCAAAGGACAGGTGCTGCTAATCCTGCTGAACTCTGTTGCTTTTCATCATGGAGACAAGACTAAAATATTACATTAGTGGGGCCTCCCCGGTGGCGCAGCGGTTGAGTGCTGGGTTGGGAAGCTGCCCGCAGCCTCCGCAGCAGTGTGCTTCGGTCCTGCCTGCTCTGCTTCCCTCTCTGGCTCTGGTGAATTCTCTCACCCGCCGGCGCTTCTGACTGTACCCAGTGCTGGTATAAATAAATAAAAATAAATTAAAAAATAAATTTCAGTAGAAGTAAGTGAAAATAAAGGTTATTTTTCCCTCTGAGCTAAGGCTCCTGAACTCACATTTTCAAGTCCACACAGGCCCTGGGGATCTGAGAACCTCAAGGTAAGACCCTGCCCTTCTTACAGCACCTCACTGGTGTAATATAGGAGCTCACAAGTGGTTCTGTGACAGGGATGGCTATGGGTGTGTTTGCCTTTTATGGAGAAATGTCAGGACTGGCCCAGAGGGATGGAATCCCAAGCCCAATAGGAAGGAAGAAATAGAGGGATAACCCCAATGTATGCCAAAGTGTCAGAAGGAGATGGCACCTTGGAGGCAGATAGGTTCCCTGAGACCAGACTTCCCCTTTAGGAGGTGGGGAGTGAGGAAGTGACTTTCAGGGACAGATATCATGAAAGCCACAGCAGGGAGTACTGACTCTCAGCCCACCTTTGGAGGAGGATTCAGTTACAGGCAAATATCACAGTAAGGCAAGTCAGATGGATTGCGCTAGTTGCTTTGACACTAGTGTACAAAACATGGTTTCCAAAAAATGTAGATACTTAATTTGAAATTACTGTATTCTCTTTCTGCCCACTTGTTTCTGGGCAAGTGTCTTCTTTTTTCCTTTTCCTAATGAAAATTCTCTTAATAAATTAAAAAAAAAAAAACTATTGCTGAAGAACACTAACCATCATCTGAATCTTCTGTGAGTCATAGCCTTTTGCTCTGAAGTAACTTGCTCACTGTGGGTGGCAGCTGACTGCTCACGATGGTGGTTGCTGAAGGCTGAGGTGGCTGTGGCAGTATTTTAAAATAAGACAACAAAGAAGTTTGCTGCATCAGTTGACTCTCCCTTTCACAGAAAGATTTCTGTGAGTAGCATTTTACCCACAGTAAATGTAGAGCATCATTCATAATTGATGAGACCCCCCCAAACCTTACCACCTCTTTATTAACTAAGTTTATGAATACTCTAAATCCTTTGTTCTTATTTCAACAATATTCAGTAATAGTTTGAGTAGATTCCATCTCAAAAAAACTACTTCGCTTATCATAAGAAGCAAATCCTCATCCACTAAAGTTTTATCTTGAGATTGAGTCACATCTTCCACTTCCGCTTCCAGGCTCCACTTCTGATTCTAGCTCTCTTGCTATTTCCACCATATCTACAATTACTTTCTCCACTGAAATCTTGACCTCAAACTCCTCCTTAAGGGTTGGAACCAACTTCTTAAAAACTGTTGAGTGTTAATATTTTGACTCCCTCCCATGAATCATGAATATTCTTTTTTTTTTTTTAAGATGGATTTATTTATACAAGCCCTGGGTACAGTCAGAAGAGCGGGAGGGTGAGAGAATTTACCAGAGCCAGAATGGAGAGCAGAACAGGCAGACTGACAAAACACACTGCTGTGGAGGGCAGCAGGTGCGGCAGGAGAGGTCTGTTGGGCCATGTGGGACCATCGACCCTCGCTGGTGGTGGGGGATCGAACTGGCACTGCAGAGGCTGCGGGCATCTTCGCAGCACAGAACTCAACCACTGCACTGCCAGGGAAAGCCTGAATCATGGATAGTCTTAAAGGTTTCTAGAATGATGAATCATTTCCAGAAAGTTTTCAATTCACTTTGCTCAGATTCATCAGACAAAGGTCTCATCAGACCAATCACTATCTCAGGTAGCTACAGCCTACTGTAATGTATTTCTTAAATAATAAGACTTGAAGTAAAAAAAAAAAAAAAAACTTCTTAATCCATGAGCTGCAGAATAAATGTTATTTCAGCAGGCATGAAAACATTAATACATTTCTGTCACAGCTCTTGGATTGACCAGGTACATTGTCAGTGAGCAGTTAATATTTTGAAAGGAGTCTTTCTGAACAATAGGTCTCAACTGTAAGCTGAAAATATTTAGTCAACCATGTTGTACACAGATGTGCTGTCATCCAGGTTTTGTTCCATTTATAGAGGCAGGTAGAATGAATTTAGTATAAGGGCCCTAGGATTTTCAGAATAGTAAATGAGCATTGGTAAATAGCTGCATTAGCCCATAACAAGAGAGTCAGCTTGTCCTTTGAAGCCAGACTTTGTTCCTTTCTTTTTATTTTTTTAAAGATTTAGTTATTTGGGCCTCCGTGTGGTGCAAGGAGTTAAGTCGCAGCACTATGAAGCTATCCGCAGCCACTGCAGCATGAGTTCAATCCCCAGCCAGGGAGCTAACTTACATGGCACTGCAGACCTCTCCTGTCTCACCCACTGCTCATCTCAGCTGTGTATTTCAGCAATCTTTATGCATACAACAACTGGGATATAGGCCAGAGGTACAGCGGGTGAGAAAATTCACCAGAGACAAAGTAGGGAGCAGAACAGGCAGACTGACTGAAATACACTGCTGAGCAGAGCAGTGGGCAAGACAGGAGAGGTCTGCTGGGCCATGTGGATTAGCTCCCTGGCTGGGGACCCAACTAATGGTGCAGATATCTTCATAGTGCTGTGACTTCATAGTGCTGGGGCCACCAGGGAGGCCCAGACTTTGTTCCTTTCTAAGGAAATCATAGATTGCATCTTCTCCCAATAGAAGGCTGTTTTGTCCTCATTGAAAATTTGTTGTTCAGTGTAGCCTCCTTCAGCTTACCTAGTTCTGGATAACTTGCTGCCTCTTCGACATCAGCACTTGCTGCCTTCCCTTGTACTTTTATGTTATGGAGATGGCTTCTTTCCTTAAACTTCATGAACCAGCCTCTAATTTAAAACTTTCCTTCTGCAGCTTCCTCACTTCTCTTAGCCTTCATAAAATTGAAGAGAGTTAAGGCCTTGCTCTGGTTTACACTTGGATTTAATGGAATGATGTTGCTAATACAATTGTCTATGCAGACCACTAATTTATATCAGCAATAAGGCTGCTTTGCTTTCTTATCATTCATGTGTTCACTGGAGTAGTACTTTTAATTTCCTTGAAGAACTTCTGTATTCACAACTTACCTAACTGGTGCAAGAGGCCCAGCTTTCAAACTATCTCCGCTTTCTACATGCCTTTTCACTAAGCTTAATCATTTCTAGCTTATGATTAAAGGAGAGATGTGCAACTCCTCCTATAATTTGAAAATATACAGACAATTGTACAGTTATTAACTGGCCTAGTATTGTTGTATCTCAAGCAATAGGAAGATCACAGGAATGGCCAGTTAATGGAGCAGTCAGAATATTATTCATCTGTTAAATTCACTGTCTTACGTAGGTGCACTTTGTGGTACCCCAAAACAATTATGAGATCACAGATCATCATAACAGGTATAATAATAATGAAATAGTTTAAAATACAAGAATTACCAAGTATCCTTAACATACTTGATGGGAGCACATGCTGTTAAAAAAATAAAAATGGTGCCAGTATGCTTGCTCAGCATGGAGTTACCACAAACCCTCAATTTGCAGAACAAAAAAAAAAAATCCTTGACGTGCAATAGAATAAGGTGTGCCTATATTATCCCTTGGTCCAGCAAAGTCCCATGACTGGTTAGAAGGTGGACCCCAGCAGGCTGCCTAGGGGAAGAGTCAAGGCAAGGAGTCCTGACCATGTGAGAGGTGAGAAGGCAGAGCTAACCTCCGGCCCAGGGAGCAGGAACACTAGAGACAGGTCAATGGCAAGCTAGGTGAATACAGCATTGAAAATAGGGACAATGGAGTGCATGCGGGGTGAGGGGTTAGACGCTCTCTGGTGTCTAACCTGGGCACCTGGTGTGATTAGGGAGGGGGAATGTGATTAATGCGGGGATGGGGGGTGCCTCAGAGATGTGTGTGGAAACTAAGGGAGAGCTCTGTGGAACTTCAAGGACCATGACCCTTGAGAACTCCTCCCCTTTTATTCTCTCCACGTGGGTACTTCCGCAAATTCTTCATGTTCTGCCTCACCCTTCCTGCCCTGCATGGCAGACTCATGCAAGCCCAGAGAGTCAGTGTCCCCTCCCTGCCAAGCACACCCTTCCTCTGGCCCAGACCTTGCCCCTGAACAGTAGCCCCAAAGACCAGCACTGACCTGACTCTTCCTTCAACTAACTTGACACCAGCCACTCTTCTAGGCACTTTACACTATCAACTTGGCAAACACTTATAACAGCCCTTTCAGACAGGGAGACCAAGGCTCAGGCAGGCACTCTAGCCCTTGCTTTCTTGCCCAGACCCATCTCTCCCATTGCAGTCTGCCCTTGGCCTTGGTTTTACCACACTCACTGTAGGCATCACACTTGCTAGTCCTTTTTGCCAAGAGCAGTTGTTCTCAAACTTTAGAACTACCTCAGAATCGCCAAAGGACTACAACTACAGAAAGCTGTGCTTACCCCCAGAGTATTTGATTCTGGGGGGACTGGGATGGTCAGGGTATAGCACCCTAAGATTCCCTAGACAAGAATGCTCCTCCCTCAGCCACCCACTGCCAGGTAATCCAGTTAGCAAGGTCTTCTCCGGGCTTCAGCCAAAAGGCCCCTGTCCCCTAGCTCTGCCCGCCCCAGGGTACTCTGGCACCTGGTGCCTCTGCAGTCCTGCACTGGTCAGCCTTACTGGACCCGAGTGTCTTAATTGTTCAGTTGTTCCTCTCCCTACCAGACCTGAGCCCCCTTGGCACCATGTCTATCCAGTTCATCTCTGCCCCTGCACACTCCGGTCAGCTCAGTCCCTGGGTTGTAGTAGAAAGACCACAGGTGTTTGTCAGGTGAGTAATACTACAGAGGAGAGGTCAGGGCTGCACAGCTCAGTCTGTGGACATGGCCAGGCGGGACGTGGGCTCCCTGCCTGCAGCACGTGAGCATCGCCTGGGAGCTCTAGTGCCTGCTGGTATCGGGTCCCCACCTCGAGGCCCACTCAGTCCAGGATGGCAAGATTCTCCAGGCTGCTGGGTGGTTCTGAGGCAGAACCCAACCCTGGCTTCCCTCCTTTTTAAGTGGAAACAGGCCCAAATCACAGGAACACAGCAAAAGGCAGTAAATCACTATGTGCAAAGCTGAGGAGTCACACCTGGCACTGAGGCCTAGAACTTGGCCTGTTGGCTTTGAGCCTATGTTTCCCTTCCATGGGCTCTTACTGTCATTCTCTGACATGCTAAGTGCAGATTTTCTCAGCAGACACAAAGACATGTAGGATAATTACACCTTGAGACTCATACTTCCCATACATTTATCCCTTGCAGAGAGTCCCTGGGGGCTGCCCGTGGTGGAAGACAAGCCAGCTTCCTTTGCAAAGGTGGAGATAGCAAAACTGGCCAACCTGAAGTTAAACAACAAGCCCTAGCCTGGAGGTAAGACCCGACCTGCCTGCTGAAGGAGCAGGATGGCAGAGGCCAAGAGCCACAGCCTGCAAGATGGCACAGTCTGGGAATTTGATGAGTTGTCAGGGTGGGAGAACCTTGCCAGGGTGGGCAACACAGAATCCAGAGCCTCTGAAAGGTGCCCCAGGGGCTGGAGTCTGATCTCCAGAGGACTGGCACCTCACTCAGGCACCTTCCCCCACCCCCATCCCACTCCAGCTCTTCTTCCCATGTCCACCTCTTCCCTGAGAACAAGAAAGGCAGCCTAAGAATATGATGTCTGAGGAGACCTTGCCATAGCCTGCCCTGTGCTTTTTCTTCCTTTGCTCAGGGTGCCTTTCTCCATCTTTCTCTGCTCCATCTGCATGTCACCTTGTCCTGTGACAATCATGGACTCTCCCTCCGGTTCCCTGTTTATAAGGACTCATTTAGGTCCTGTCTAGACAACCCAGGATGATCTCCCCATTTCAAGATCCTTCATTAATCCCATCTGCAAAATCCCACAGCAGGTAAAATTCTCAGGTTCCAGGGCCTGAGAATGATAATGAAGGGCCATTATCCAGCCTTAGGTACTGCTTCCTGTGAAGAGTGAGATAGGATGGGAAACACCCACCTTCCACTACCCAAGAGGCACAGCAGCCACCCAGGGACATAGGATCTTTCCCTTCCCTTACACCAGGGAGGCTGACCTGCTGCAGAGCAAAGCCAGGGAGGGTCTGTCTAATAGAGATCACCCTCAAGCCCTGCAAGCCTGTCACAGCTGCCAGCTCAGGAGCACCTCACTCTGATCTTAAGTCAGTGATTTGCAAGGAAACCCCACCATGAGACGCTTGTCATTTCCTAAGATGCTTGCAACACCCAGACCTAAGTTCAACCCTTGGCTCAAACACTCTCAACATTGACCCCCTCCCACCAAGGAGGTTTGTTTGACCATGAGACAGAGCTTCTCTTCCTCAGTTGAGAAAAAACAGAGGCTGTGGTGAGAGAATTCAGGCTCCCCTCTTTCTAGTAGATGCCTTTGGGTGCCATACAGACCACCCCTGGCCTCGATGTCTTCATCTGTAAAATGGAGTCAATTACACAGATGTCTTCCGTGTATCGTAACATCAACCGAGATAGTGAATGAAAAGCAGTTAGACCAGTGCAGAACACACAGCGGTCACTCCAAAAATGACAGTTGTGATTATCGTCACTACTATTCATGCTGTTGTTTTTTGTCCAGTTCAGTAAATGCCCACTTTGTGCCATGCATGATGTGAGGCCTTGGGAAATAGAGTGATGCAGTGTGTTACCTGCCCTTACAGAGCCAACAGACTTCACAGGGAGCACAGGACACTGTTGAGACACCTTTGGGGACATGAGGAGGGCTTCCTGGAGGAGGGACACCTGAGAGATAAATCTGAGGGAGGACACACTGACCAAAAGAAAAGAGGGACAGGAGTGCCTGGAAAGCAGGAACACAGTGCAGAGGCCTGGGTGGTGTGGCTAAATCCAGCATAAACAGTGTCGTGAACAAACAGAGGTTCTTGATTTCTCTGTTCACATTTGAATATTCAAACACTGAGCAACTACTGTGTTCCAGAAGATGTCCTAGGCACTGGAAAAATAGAGTAATCCCTACAGGAACATCTGCCCTTGGGGAGTTTGCACCACAGTGGGGAGATAAACCATTAACAAGAAAAACAAATTGCAGATTCTGGGGGTAGTGCTCTAGAAAAAAATAACACCGAGAAGGGAGTGCTGAGGGATAAAATATATACATATATATGTATATGTATATATTTCATAAGTTTGGTAAGAAAGGAACTCCTTTTTTTTTTTTTTAAGATTTATTTATTTATGCATACAACAGCTGGGGTACAGGCCAGAGATGTGGGGGGTGAGAGGATTCACCAGAGACAGAGTGGGGAACAGAACAGGCAGACTGACTGAAATACACTGCTGAGGGGAGCAGCGGGCAAGACAGGAGAGGTCTGCTGCGCCGTGTGGGTTGCTCTCTGGTCGGCTGGGGATCAAACTTATGCTGCAGTGGCTGCAGATTGCTTCATAGGTTGCATCTTAACCCTTGCGCCACCAGGGAGGCCCCCAAGAAAGGAACTCTTGAAGAACAAAAATTTTTTAATGTTAGTCAAGGGAGTGACAAACCAAGACTATCTCTGAGAAAGTTTGACTGAGTTTTTAAAGATACAGCATTTGTTATAATAATAGCTTGAGTCAAAACTGGCTGCTAACAGGGTTTCATATACAAAAACCAAGTTGAATCAATGAGTTGGTGCTTCTGGATCCTTGGTGGAGAACAACCTTGAAGCAGCATTTGGATTTAAAGAGCAAGAAGATCTATTAGCAATGTCTGGTGTGGGAGCAGGAGGAAGGGGGAGTGAACTCAGATGCCACCAGCTCAGCAGCAACAGTCCTAGCTGAGAGATATGTCCAGGCACTTCTGAGGATGCTCCACATGAATTAAGCTTCCTACCAACAAACATTTTAATCATAATATTTTTAATTGTGAGGTAAAAAACCTGATAGCTACACTTAAAAAAGATGATTATAAAGTATAAGTAGGGCCTGAGTAAGGCGACTTAGTGAATGAATTTGGCCTCAATGTTTGATCAATTCATTATTTATTTAAACTATTTGGGTAAGATTATTTTTCTTATGGAAACTCACAGCTCTTGCTCTTGCTGATAGCAAACACTCTGGATGGGTTTCCACCAGTGTTTGATAGCAAACACTCTGGATGGGTTTCCACAGGCCAAGCCCGGTACAGATCCTGGCTGTGCATGTGAGCCTGAGCCGTTTTGTATTTCTGCAGGTACACACTCCCTCCACTAACACTACCTATTCCTGTCAGAGCCAGGCCCAGGCCTCCCCCAGTTCCTGGCTGTAGGCTACGTGGACAACCAGCCCTTCATGCGATTTGACAGTCGTGTGGACGAGGCCAAGCCCCAGGCCCAGTGGATGGCACCTGTGGAACCTCAGTACTGGGCTAAGGAGACAGAGAAGCAGAGGACCTGGCCTGAGGTGCAGCAGGTCGAGACGCGGAGATTGATGAGCTACCACAACCAGAGCAGCGGTGCGTGGAACAGGCCCTGCTGACTCCCCAAACCATACTTTCTTCACACTATCTGCTGAGCCTCCAGGCAGCCGTGCCTATCCTATAGGGGATACAGACTGCTCTGTCAGGCCTGTCCAGGCACACTCCTGCCACATGGTCTCCCCAGCCTCCTTCCCCCACTGCCAAGCAGGGGCCACAGGGGGCTTCAGAATCAGTTGAGCAGCAAGCATCCACAGGAGCTAGGGCCCATGACACCTCTCCACATAGTCATCCAGGGTTCTAGACCTCAACAAACTGGCAGAGGCTTTTCCCCTCGCACCAACCCTGCCTGAATGCATCAAATCACACCCAACCCCAGGCTCTCAGATGCCATCTCTGCCAGGCAGGGGAAGGAGGTCTGATGAGCTTGAACTAAGGACATAGCTCAGGGTGGGAGAGAGAACTGGGTGAGGACCCCTCTCTGGTATCAGCAGAGACAGGAAGCATTTCTCTGAGCCTCAGTCCCCTTGTCTCACACCCCACTTGCAGGGCTGCTGATGATCCTGAGTGACGTGCTGTGTGGAGCACAGCTTGTCCACAGTCACTCTGCTCTGTGCCCAGATACCCATGACCAGGCTAAAAGCCTCAGTTCCCCAGAGGTCTGGGAAGGAATAGATACCAAGGACCAAGACTGGGGAGGCCTGCATCAGCCCAAGAACCCAGGATAAGCATGACCAGCCCCAGTGGCAGCAATAACAGCCAGAATCACCAGATTTCACATTTTACAACCAAAGTGGACATGACTTACCATTGAGACATGTTACAGTCATAAATAAGTTTTTTCCTTTGTATGTATATGATGAACTGAAATATTTTTACCATATGAGGAAACTGAAGTACAGAGAAGCTTAACAGTTTCTCAGCCCAGGGTGCTCAAAGAAATTGCCTGGAGAGCATTTCTCCTAATGTTGCCACACTTTGGAGGCCCCATGTGTGGGGGCTTCTCTCCAGCTCTCAGATGCTGCCCAGCAACCAAAGCCTTCTTGCCACCTCTACAGGCATGCACAGCACTCAGCGCATGTTTGGCTGTGAGATCCAGGAGGATGGCACCTCCAGTGGCTTCTGGCAATTTGCCTACGATGGGCAGGATCACCTGATGCTGGACCTGGAAACTCTAAGCTGGGTGTCCGCGCAGTCCGTGGCCCTGCAGACCAAACGCTGGTGGGAGATGGAGCACTGCTATGCCGAGTATGACAAGGCCTACCTGGAAGGCCTCTGCCTCATCTCCCTGCTCAGGTACCTGGAGCTGGGAAGCAAGAGCCTCACACGAAGAGGTAAGGCCCAGCTGGTGACAATTCAGACATAGCTTCCATGCTCCTGTTTTGTTTTGTTTTTTTCCATGCCCCTGTTATTGACAGCCTTTCCATTCAGCCTTGGGGGAAAGGGTGGGAGGACAGACTGTATCCCTCTGACTCAGATGATCCCATGGGGGCCTACAAAGATAGCCAACTAGTCAGTAGCTTTCTCCTGCAGAGCAGGAAACATCTTAAACATATAAATTGAGTTTTTTCATTTATAATCATGTATACAATGAACTCAAATATTCTTCCCATATGAGGCAACTGTGGTGCAGAGAAGCTCAGCAGGTTCTCAGCCCCAGAGGCTATTCCAGTGTCATCTTGGAAAACTAGCCTTCTCATTCTGGGCCTCATTTTCTTCATCTGTAGGGCAAGTGTGTCAAAACAGGTGGTTTCATGAATTCTTTTGGGAGCTTATTGTCCTGTGGTTTGGTGCTTGGGAAATGAACCCCAGGGCCCAAGAAATAGAGTGCCTCACCAGTCACTGGACCACTGGGGAAACTGATGCCCTTTGCCTTCTCTTCCCAAACACCTCTCATCTGAAATATGTTCCCCAGGCTTAGATGCAACCTAAACTTCTCATCTTGGGAAGCAGAACTGGAGATACAAGGGCTTGGATGGACACTAGGGGAGGCCGGTGCTTGAGGGAGCCAAGGTGGAGGCTTCTTGGACTGTGGTGTAAGGGAGGCTGTGGGAAGCTGAATGGATCGGAGCACCCAGCAGACCACGGATATCTAGTAACTGAGTGATGGATGCGAATGCACACAAGTAATGAGGAAGACAAGATAAATAACATATAGGGAAAAGGCAAAATTATGAAAGCAGAGTGTAGTGGAGCTTAGTCTCCATTTCCACAGGGCTTGCTGGCTGTGTGACCTTGGGAAAGTTGCTCGCCCTCTCTATGCCTTAGTTTACTCATGAGTACAACATGGGTGATAATAATAGCCCCCCCGCCTCCCCAAAGCACTGTGTTAAATAAGTGAGCATTGAGCTCTCATTCAGCACCAGGGGGCATTCTGCACCTTTCACCAGAACCAAAGGGTGTGTGTGTGGGGCGGGGGGGGGGGGTGTATGTATGTGTGTTCCAAGATCTGCAGTTGACAGCTGGAGACCCAGGAGAGCAAGTGTATGCTTTGAGTCTGAAGGCACAAAAAGACTGATGTCCCAGCCCAGGGCAGTCAGGCAGGAAGAGTCCCTCTTACTCAGTCTTTGTCCTTTTCAGATCCCCAGCTGTTTTCATGAGGTCCACCCACATAAAGACAGCAACCTGCTTTAGCAAATCCACTCATTCAAATGTTAATAGCACCCCGAAACACCCTCACATACATACCCAGCATAACTTTTTTTTTTTAGAATTTTTTTTTTCCCTAAGATTTATTTATTTATTTATTTATACACGCACTGGGTACAGTCAGAAGTGCGCGAGGGTGAGAGAATTCACCAGAGCCAGAGCGGGGAGCAGAGCAGGCAGAAGGACCAAAGTACACTGCTGAGGGGAGCAGCGGGCGGCAGGAGAGGTCTGCGCGCCATGCGGGACCCTCCTCCAGTGGCCGGGGAGCAGCTGGGGATCGAGCTGGCGCTGCAGAGGCTGCGGGCAGCTTCGCAACCCAGCGCTCAACCGCTGCACCACCGGGGAGGCCCCCCAGCATAACTTTTGACCAAATGCCTGGTTCTTCTTTGGGCCAGGGAAGTGACCACATGGCACTAAGCCATCATCACATGCACTAAGGCACCAAGCGGTGCCTTCAAGGTAGGCGAAGAAGAAACAAGGCCCTCCCACTGGCCCACCCCCTCTTCGCCTGGACTCTCATTCGGAACAACTCTGAGACAGGAGTAATGCACCCCACTAAGCCCTGAGAAACTGAGGGCTGTGGACAAAAGTCAGGCAGGGATTCAAGCCAGAGAGAGCCCACCCCACATCACAGCCCACCCCACTCCATGGAGAGACAGGTATTCCTTCTCACCTTCATTTAACAGCCGCTTGTTGGGCACCTAATGTGCACAGGGAGTCACAGGGGAAGAATGAAAGTCTGAGAAAAGCCCGTGGGTGCGGGGAGAAGGGGGTGGAGGGAAGGCAGAAAGCAGCCCTCATCAGTCTTCCTCCCTCCACCCCACTGCAGATCCCCCCACGGTGCAGGTGACAAGGCATCCCACCCAAGACAGGGGCACCTTGCTGAGGTGCTGGGCCCTGGGCTTCTACCCACGGGACATCTCTCTGAGCTGGTGGCTGGATGAGAAGGAGCTGGCCGTGGAGACAGAGAATGTGGAGACGCGCCCCAGTGGGGATGGCACCTACCAGACTTGGGCGGCCGTGTGGGTGCCAGAGGGGAAGGAGACCTTATACACCTGCCACGTGCAGCACTCCAGCCTGAACCACACACTCACTGTGGCCTGGGGTAAGGAGCTGGGCTTGACTGTGGGGGCCAGGGGTGGGGAGGAGGGTCAGCGGAGGGTCCTGAGGCTCCCCAGACACCCAATGGTCTGGGGCTAACCCCTTTGCTCTGCTTTCCTCAGAATTGCCCTCTTTCTCCTGGACTCATTGCCATCGCTACCTTCACCAGCCTGGCCACTGTCTTGGTTGTAATTGTGATCTTTACCAAGCGGTGCCTTCAAGGTAGGTGAAGAAGAAACAAAGGCCCTCCCATTGGTCCACCCCCACAGGGAGGAATGCTCTGCTGCCAGCCCCTGCCTTGAAACTTCCCTCATGGGGAGCAGCAACTACAGCTGCAGCCCGGTCCCCACCTGTGGAAAAATGCAGGCACCCAACCTGCACCTTTGAGTACTTTGTGGATCTTCCAGTCAAGGGAGACCATTAGGCTTGACCTGGGAAAGGGCACAGGAGGGGAGGGGAGGCCCCAGAGCTCCACCTCTGACCACAAGCCACCTGTCTCATGTTCTGTGTTCTTTTTCCCTCAGCCAGGAAAAAAGACTCTTATGAGCAAGCTCCTGTTGACTGTGGAATGGGCGAGCTGGGGAGAGGAAGCACCAGGAACTCCCAAGCATGACGGAGATGCCTTGGAACCCAAGGCGGAGGTGGGGCAGTGAGACAGACACATGCCCAGGCTGAGTCCCTCACGTCCCCTGCAATCCCGGAGGGGAGCCACTGCCCGGTTTCAGGGAGACCCAGCTTCACCACCCACCCTCCTCCCTGAAGGTGGAGGATCTCTTAATTCCCAAAAACCCTGAGAGAAGGGGCTACTCAGCTCTGCCGCAGACAAGCCTAGTGTCAGTAGCTGAGAGTTGCCAGCCAAACCACAACCCCTGATAATTTGACACACTTGTTCAGTTGGAAGCCATGTGAGTCAGCTCTAGAGTGGAAGGAACAAGGGTACAGAAGGCTAGATTTGAGAAAATAAAAATCAGTAGGACTTGATGGCTGAAATTTGTGGGGGCTGTTCATTTATTTATCCAGCAGATATGTAGGGAATATTTGTTGTATGTTCAGCATTATGATAGAGGAGCTATTATGAGACAGCCTTGGTAAAAGAAATTGCAAGCTGGTAAAATGAGTTGCCCCAAGTCCTATTTGAGCAGATGGACTAAAGCATGGACAGTGATCTCCAAACAATTTGGCCACCACACTGGTGATGAGACACCATGATAGACAACATGTGTTATCTCACAATCCTGCAGGGAGAATGCTGAGTATCCCTCCATACACACACAGATGGAGTATGAGTCATCTGCACATGCCAGAACAACCTATGAAGCTGCTCCCCTCCCTGCCTCTTCTTAATTCCCTTCAAGGAGTCAGGCTAAATTCTTTCTGGCATTGGTTCCCTCATGCATGAGTTTCTGGAGGGACCACTGTCTCATGATCATTGACCTGTGAGAACAGAAGGACTATTCTCCCATCTCATGTCAAGCTCGTCTTTTTTATAATGAGTTACACAAAGACAGTCATAACTAAAGAGCCCATTGGAGAGCCTCCCTGGTGGCGCAAGGGGTTTAGCACCACACTATGAAGCAATCCACAGCCACTGCAGCACGAGTTTGATCCCTGTTCAGCCAGGGAGCAACCCACATGGCAGCAGACCTCTCCTGACTCGCCCGCTGCTCCCCTCAGCAGTGTACTTCGGTCAATCTGCTTGTTCTGTTCCCCACTGTGTCTCTAGTGAATCCTCTCACCCTCTGCATCTCTACCTTGTACCCCAGCTCTTGTATGCATAAATAAATAAATAAATCTTTTAAAAAAAAAAAAAAAAAAAAAAAGAGCCCGGGCCTCCCTGGTGGCGCAGCAGTTGAGCGCTGGGTTGCGAGGCTGACTGCAGCCTCTGCGGGGCCGGTTCGATCCCCAGCCACTGGGCGAGGGTCCCACATGGCGTGCAGACCTCTCCTGCCGCCCGCTGCTCCCCTCAGCAGTGTACTTCGTCAGTCTGCCTGCTCTGCCCTCCTCTTTGGTTCTGGTGAATTCTCTTGCCCTCCCGTGCTTCTGACTGTACGCAGTGCTTGTATAAATAAATAAAAATAAATCTTAAAAAAAAAAAAGCCCATTGGAACAGCCCGTCACAGTTAATATTCCTGGTATTCATCATGTTCAGCCTCCAGAACTTATCAGCTTCTTAGTTATCTTGACCCTGGTACATCTGATGGTGTCAATGTCCAGCACACATTCAGGCATCATTGGGTTAGGATTATCAGTTTAAAGCCTCTGCTAGGTGTATATGTGCAGATTCCTATACTAGGCATGGTGCCCTTCCCTTCTTCCCTAGGCCCCTATCAGTTCCAAGGTACCCCAAAGATTCCATTAGGACCGGTGGTATCTTTACACCTATTAGAGAGGGGTGCAATGAACAGAGGGGTCAAACGAACAGCATTTTACTAAAGTAAAACAGAATATAACAGAGTGTTCCTTGATATCATAGGAAAAGACCAATTTCTGGAAATTTTGTTTCTGTTAGATATGTGCAAGTCTGTATTTCATCAATGTGTGCCAAGTACTTACCAAGGGTCAAAAATTGAAAAACCTTGGATGAAGGTTGACTTACACTTTTGTTGCCGTTGTTCTTATATGTGGATAGATGAAAGTGGATGGATAAATGGATAGATGAGTTACCTATGTATGCATCTAAAAGATGGAAGGATAACTGCATTAAAAATAAATGAGTTGTTAGACAGCTGGGTTGATGCGTGCACGTGTTCACAGATAGGTGAGTGGATAGTAAATGATACTGAATGAAAGGATTATGGCTTGAGGGAAAAGAAAAGATGTCCAGAAGACGGTCTAGGGCATGCTGTGTGTGAGGAGGCTGACATAAAATTACTGGCGAGTAAATAAGATCAGGGATAGGAGGCCGAGGTTCTGGGGAGAAGGTGGAAGGGCGGGGGAGAGAATGAGTAAGAAAAATGAATCGGTTTGAGGAGAAAAAGTTGTACACAAGTTCCCACACAAAATACTCAGACCTCTAGTCACTCAGCGCCGCCACGAGCTTGATCCCGCCTATTTTCCACAGAGCACGCCCCCGAGCGCAGCCCCGGCGACGCCTGAGTCCTCCATACCACAAAGGCCTGTGGCTAGAAGGGCCCGCGCAAAATCGGAACTCGGACGCCTACCGCCTCCGGGCCGGTTTCCTGGTACCCGCTCTCAGCACCGGCCGCTGGGCGGTCTGTGTCTGGTTAGCTAGAGCGTCGTTCGCACCTCTCGGGAGATTTTCTCTCCGCCTCCGCTCATTCTCCCCAGTGTTCCCTCTTTGGGGAAGCCGGCTGGGCCGCAGGGGCCCCCAGCTGGCGCGTCCCTGGAGCACCATCGAGATGTGGTCCTCCGGCAGCCCAGCTCAGCCGGGCGGCGTGGGTCTGCGGCTACGTCACATTCTGTCGCCCGGGGCGGGGTGAGTAGTGCCGGCTTCTGAGGGGAGCTCGGCGGAGTCTGACTAATTCTGAGAGACGAGCAGCTTGACTTGGTGTGATCAAGATTAGCACGTAGAGCCCCGAAAGGTAGTGTGGGCTGCCTGGTTCTGCCTGAGCTGCCCTCGGAGGGCAGCTGTTGAGTCCAGACTGCAGCCATCGCGCCTTGAACTGAGAAGAGGCTGGGATAGGGGAACACGGCTTCACTACGGGCCTGAGGTGGGAGAACAGAGTTGAGGACAGCTGTGGGTCACCAGCATAGCTAGCAGACAGGCTTGCGGGAACGACCCCGGCTCCTCAGCTCCGAGCTGACGCAGCTACACCCGCCGGCAGCGCGTTAAGATGGCAGGCCATGCCACTATGCCCAGCCCCATGCAGACCCTTCAGGAAGAAGCGGTGTGTGCCATCTGCCTGGACTACTTCAAGGATCCCGTGTCTATCGGCTGCGGGCATAACTTCTGTCGAGGGTGTGTGACCCAGCTGTGGGGCAAGGAAGATGACGACAGGGCCGAAGAGGAGGAATGGGAGGAGGAAGAAGACGACGAGGCCGTGGGAGCCATCGGTGGATGGGACAACTCCATTCGAGAGGTTTTGTACCAGGGGGATACTGACGAAGAGTTGTTCCAGGACCAAGAGGATGATGAATCCTGGGTCGGTGATGGTGGCGTGAGGAATTGGGACATAGACCATGTGTGGGACCAAGAGGAAGAAGAGGACGATCAGAACTATTACCTGGGAGGCTTCAGACATGAACTGAGAATTGACGTCTACCCTGAAGAATACGAAGACGATGTCGAAGAGCTGTATCCTGACGCTCACCTGCCTCGTACCCGGACCCCTCCACGGCAGTTTACTTGCCCGCAGTGCCGAAAGAGCTTTACACGTCGGAGCTTTCGTCCCAATTTGCAGCTGGCCAACATGGTCCAAATAATTAGCCAGATGTGCCCCATTCCTTATCGAGGGAGCCGTGGGAACGATCAGGGAATCTGCTTCAAACACCAGGAAGCCTTGAAACTCTACTGTGAGGTGGACAAAGAGGCCATCTGTGTGGTGTGCCGAGAATCCCGGAGCCACAAACAGCACAGCGTGGTGCCAATGGAAGAGGCTGTGCAGGAATACAAGGTGAGAGGCAAAGGAAGGGTATATGAGGGTTAGGAGGTAGTGGAGAGGAAGGGGGCGGGGGCTGGTCTGCGAAATGGCAGTATTTTCCTACCTCCTCAGGTAACTGCTAGTTGGACCTCTTGGTTTTTGTGGAGAAAAATGGACAAAGACATTGCTAAGGCGGATTGGCTTCCCCAGAAGAAGCAAAGATATGACATGGCATGAAAGTGAGGGGAGGCTACCACTGTTTTTAGTTCCCGTATAAAGTACCAAGTATAAGGGGCAGATCCTTATTCTTAATTCCCCTCTAATGTAAGTCCTAGGCTATACCTGATCAAGATTCCAGCACCTTTAACACACAGGGATGGAACGCCACAGTGTTCTAAGACATTTGGGTTCTCGGAGCACAAGCAGCATCAGAACAGATGACTGGTATTGGTAGACCAAAATGGCAAGTGTGACTCCTGTATTAATTAGCTATACACCGCCCCCAGAGTCTGGGATTGCTTCCCCACAGCTTCAGTAAGGTCCATTTTGCCTGTAGAGATAGGCAGAAGGCATAAACATCTTGAATGGATCAGAATAAACCTTATGTCCTGATCATTTTCCTTTCCCGGTATTTTATAGTGGAAGAGGGATTTAGGATCAAGTGACCTGGCTCTGCAACTTACTATCCAATCTTAGGCAGGTCTCAACCCCTTAGCTTTACTTTTCCCCTAGGCTTACTAAGATTGAAAGAGGTCATGTATGTGAAAGTTTTTTTATAAACCATAAAGCACTAAACAGATGTTTGCATTTTTCATTTTATTTTCCTCTAATTTGTCTTCCCTTCATTGGGTTCTGATTTGGATAATGCCTTCCTTTCCTAGCCCTGATCTAAGTGTTAGACAATTGTCTCAATTGCAGCATGAATACTGTCTTCCTTACACAAAAGGAATGTGACTCCTAGCAGTACCCAAGGAAAGAAAGATTGTCTTCAGGCACATAAAATCTTAACCTGGATATTCAGCAGCGGCTGCTTACATCTTAGTAGTGCTTTACAGTTTATAAATGTACTTCCTTGGGTTCTCCTACAGTAGTGATTTTCAAACTGTGGGTTTTGACTGCTTGGTAGGTCTCTAATGGGTCACGTCCAGTATTATTTTAAAATGAAACAGAAAATATCACATTACACAGAGCATAATAAAGGTAAGTATTGTTTTATGAAACTTTAAGTTAAAAATATATTGCTTAATCTCAGTTGTAGTAAAAACACAAACAGAACACTGTCCTGTAGGATCATATATTAAGCATTATCATCACTCCCCCCATATTATAGTAACTGTTAAGCATGCAGTTCACACAAATTTTAATTACAAATCATTGCTAATTCCATGATATTAATCTGACATTAAGGGCAAACCCCAGCACCAAACCCATTTCACCAAGGTAGTAATAAAGTGTTCCCATAGAAAAAACTATTTCCTATGCTTGTGATCTTTAGTACACTGAATCTGCTAGAATTTTCTGGGGAAAAAAATCTTTTATTTTCAAAGATAGATCAGAACTGAGGTAGATAGTGTTGCCAAAGGTAGGAACCACATTGAAGAGGTAAAACTAATTGACATTCTCTTTCATTCTTTATACCTTTCAGTTTTGTTACTTTCAGTGGGAAAACACACACATAATAGTAACATGAATTAGAATTTTAGTGAACAAGACTTACAATAGTTATTATAGGGAACAATTTTGGTATAATGGCTTATTTAATATGTTATATATTATCCATCACAGTTCTTGTGACAGTGAATTCTCTCCTGTTAGCTACTTATTAAATATAACTTTATTTACTTTGGAGGTGATGAAGCTTTATAGTTTTGGGGACTCGAACTCAAGGAGTAATTCTGCTCAAATTATGTCAGTATTGCAAGGTATGAGGAGAGTTATAGCTTATAAAATCATATTTAGTGTGGTAATGTTAAAAAGAATACTCAATTTTTTATAATATAAATAAAATTGAAAGGAACTACTTGCCTGGTGAGAATATAAAGATAGAACAAGAAGCATTCAGAGTAAGGCCTCAGATTAATGAGGTGTATGACAGGTTGGGTAGTCACAGGAGATGTTCGTTGTAGATGTGATGCCATTTATAACTGCTATTTCTGTCATATCCAGGACAATTACATTGTTTTGAGGTCAGTGTTATTTTAAAGTTTAACTTTGTATACAAAGAGGTTTGTTAGCCCTGAAAAGCTTACTTATTTATTCTTCCATTTTGTCCATCCCATGAGTTAGAGTTCGTCTTGACTCGTCAAGCTAGAATCAGAGGATTATGAAAGTAAGATCGTTTAGATTTGACCAAGGGCACCACTAAATGGTGTCAGGTTTTAGGCGGCAGACGGGTGTATAAAAAGAAAATGAACAAAGATTTCACTTATTTGGGCTCCGGCATAACTAGATGCCTGTATTGCCGTGCCACCCACCTGCCGCCAATAAAATCATTCATCGTTCTACAAGAGGGACCAGATGCTTCCATCACCAGTACTCCTTGGTTTTGTTTTCTCCATTGAGGTAGCAAAAGATGACAGCAAAAAAAAAATTGAGGCTCTTACCAAGTATATATTCATGTTATGGTGCAGAAGATAGGTGTCAGCTTCTTCAGTTGTGTTATCTGAAAATGTTGGGCAGTGACACCATACTGAACACTTAAATTTACACCATTAAAAAGAGTGGAGTATTCTGCAAAGCACAATTCTCTGGAGCTTTAAGATTGGACAGTATTGGAATGTTAACAGGAATCTTCAAAGACCATGAATGATTAATATTAAATAGCCCTTTTAATTGCAAAGGAGAAACTTGTGAAACCCTGCATTCCGAGTGCTGCCACAACTTTGAGGGGGAATTGAGAATTCCAGAATTTCTTCATCTGCTGCAATATTAACTTTGAATTGATGACTGAGCATCTCAGACTTCGGGTTTTAAGAGACATCAGCTCATCATTCTTTGCTATCAGTTGAGATGAATCTACTGACAAAACTGGGCTTTGCTTAAATTAAAAAAAAAGCTTTAAAAACTCTGAATGTGCTATTTTCACAAGCCTAGAATTTGACCACTAAAGACTATATACTTGAAGCTGTATCCTATGAACTGAGTTGGGGGAAAAAAATTGCAGGAGTGTTGAAATTACAGGAGTATATTTGTTGGTGCTACAGCAATACCATGTTTTTAGATATGGGTTTTTGGCAAAAATTGGCATTCAAGATGTACCACAGCAAGCACCACCAAACATAAACGCCCATGGATCTGCCCATAATCTACTGGAAAGCTTCAGCCTTACCGTTATCATAGGCCATTTATACTTGATCCCAGTTTACCTCGGTTTTTTGAAGATGTGGATGTCCTTCAAGAGTGTTTTGTGTTACATACTGAGGTTCCTTAGTTGTCAAAGATCTGTATTCAGCTGCACTTAGAAACAGAACAACAATGATTTTGGAACACCAACAAAAAACAAAACCAGCAAAAACAACAACAAAATTTAATTTCAAAAATTAAAACTTTCAGCAGAATATAACACATTGAAACTTATAAAACTGACCCTGAAATGTCAAGGGGCAAAAAACACCAACATCACTGCTTGCTATTAAATGCTTTAAGCAAAACTTGCCAAAAATCCAGCTACCGATAGCAAATTCATGCTTGAAATGTCTCATTTTCTTGGCTGACCTTTCAAAAACTAGACTCATGAGTGTTATTTTAAGAAAAAAGTTGAAGTAACCGCAACTATTTTGGATGCTGTGTTCTTGACCTTATTAAAACCTACTTGTAGCTTTGGGGAATAATGTGTTTCACACATATTCAGTCTTCACTAGGAGATGTTCAATCTGCACTAGGAGAACTTCAATAGAAGTTTGTGTAACTCACAGTCTGTTTTGACTGGAAACGTTCAGATAAATACTCTAGAGAAATTTGGATGTAAAACGTCTAAACAGATAGAAGGCTTTATTACATTCATTTTTCCACTTTCTCCTTACATCTTAAAAGCGTTCCCCCCTCCCCTTTTTTTTGCAATGTGGAGAAAACAGTACAAGTGTTGTAAAAGCAGCTTGTGTTTTGTTGCATCTTCTACACCACCCCGGAAAGAAAAGTTAAGGCTTAAAAATGACATTATTATCACATCATTTGAATAAACTTTTCCTTCAAAATTACTATGCTTTGTTTAATTTTAGTCATGATACTTAATTTTGAAATTTTAAATAATAATGTCTCACCCACTGCCCCCTTTCTCAGTGTATTTCAGAAAATCCATCTATTCCACACACACTTACCCCTGGCCTACACCCCAGCTCTTCTATGCAAAAATAAATAAAATCTTAAAAAAAAAAAAAAAAAGTTACCCTGTAATGGTAAAGCTATTCCAAATATTTTTTGGCTGATGAGATTACAAAAACAGGAAATAGGGATAAAAGCCCTCTACACCAAATCTAAAAGGATTTTATGCAAGAGTGAAAGTGCTCTAAATCTGTACTTTTCAATAACGCAGGTACCACTAGTTACATATGACTTTTGAACTACTTAAATATGGCCAGTGCAGGGGCCCCCCCTGGTGGCGCAAGGGGTTAAGTCTCAGCACCATGAAGCTACCTGCAGCCACTGCAATTCAATCCCTGGCCAGGGAGCTGACTCACAAGGCACAGCAAACCTACTGTCTTGCCTATTGCTCCCCTCAGCAGTGTATTTCAGTAGACCTGCCTGTTCTGTGCCCGCTCTGTCTCTGGTGAATACTCTCACCACCCACCCCGGACTTGTGGCCTGCACCCCAGCTCTTGTAAGGATAAATAAATCTTAAAAAAAAAAAGATATGCAAGTTAGGGATGGGATTTTTAATAGTATTCAATTTTAATTATGGCTAGTGGCTAGCAAATCATACTTAACTGCAGTAGTTCTATACAAAGAAAGCAGGTTGAATTCTGGTTCTTAGCATCCTCAAGGTTAGTATCAAGTCAAAGGGAAGATGAGGACCTCTCTGGTGGTCTGGGGTCAAGCCAGCACTATCATTGCTTTGACCTGAGTTCAATCCCCAGCCAGGGAGCTAACCCACATATGGCAAAGCAGACCTCTCCTGTCTTGCCCGCTGCTTCCCTCACCAGTGTATTTCAGTAGATCCACCTGTTATGCTCCCCACTCTGTCTGTGGTGAATCTTCTTTCCTCCCGCACCTCTGGCCTACACCCCAGTTCTACACTAAAATTAAAAAAAAAAAGGTAAATTTGTTTAAAAAAAAAAAAAGGTAACAAAAGGGAAGATGAAAAAGTGAGACAACTTCTTTTCCCAATCAGGAGAGGGAGGCAGAAAGGTAATTTTTAGGCATAAAAGGAGAAAATACTTAAAGGAGGCTTGTATTTTTAAAAAATCTGACAAAGATGCCCTTGAGCCAGTTTCATTTGAGACCTATATGAATTATGTGGCAGATGTGACAGGGGAAAACGGAAAATAGCCAAAAATTAAACTGTATTACCCTTTCCCATAAAGAGCTGGGACTAGGGCCTCAAAATAAAAAAGATACAAGTACAGTTTTAATTGATGCCTGAAATTGAAATATTAGGTAAAACCTAATATTAAAGCAGGTAAGTGAGTAGTTTGTTCTGGTATTGTTGATGAAAGAAAAGGATGCAAGTTTCTAGGAACAAAAGGGCTGAAGAGGAGGAGACCAAGAAAGCTAGAGGTGATAAATTTAACTCTTACTGTTAATCTCTGTCCACAAATCAAAATCCTCAGGTACAGTATGAGAATCCTGTTGCATGTGAGAAGTGTAAGAGGAGATGTTTGTGCTCCTGTCAACAGAAGACCTGAAAAGAAGGAAGAAAGTGGTCCTCTAAGTTACTACTTTTGTCTCCACTTCTCCCCACCCCTTCATAGTAGGGGGAAATGAACACCTCAGGGATTTGAGTTAGAAATAGCCTTAAAGCATACCATCCTGCCTACTGAGGTTCATGCTAAGGTCTTTCTAGCATTTGCCTTCAATTCCAGAGGACTAGGATCCAAGACATTGAGTCATGTTGACAGTTCCACTTGGCACCAAAAGCAGGACCTGACAGATAAAGGGGGATTCTGGTAGCCTGGAAGAGGATCCCCAAGAACACAACCCCTCTTTCGTCTGCCATTTCCTTGGCACACAGAATACAGTGCCCTTCCTCTCCCTACAGCAAAGATTGCAGTTTCTCAACAGGCTGGTAAGAACAAGGGAAGAATCTCTTCCTTGGATCTCATTTTGTGAGCTAGTCAGCCTTGAGTTTCCATTCCAACATAATCTCCCAACCCTAGTTCATATGAATTCTCTTCTTAGTAGAAAGCTGAGAAAGGTACCTTTGATCACCTTTTGGTTCTCATAATACTTCAAATCCATTAGTAAGGTCAGAAGCTTGCCTTCTAAAGGCATTTCATATAGTCTTGCCTAGACCATGCCTATTTCTACAGTTCTTGACTGCACATCTGCTGAAACTGAAATGCCTAGGGCCTGGGAAATCCCATAGGCCAACTCCCAGGGAAGACCCAACAGAATGCCTTGGCAACTTTTTAGAGAACTATTAGACTTCAGATTTTTGCCTAAGGTGGATACTGAATTTTTATCATACATGAATGCACAAATTATTTCTTTATAATATCTGTTCCTAGAATTGATTAAATACCACACCCAACCTCAATAGGAAGAATGAGATAGAACCTGTAATTATACTCCCATGTTTCCTTGTCACCAACTTTTTTGAGCTTAATTCCCTAGGCCTCAATCATTGTTTACCTTCTTTATACAGTACACAATACTAGACTTGAGTGAAGAAGGCGAGATAGGGTTGAAAAAGATTACAACCCCTCACTCATAAGGTCTTTGGTAAGTCCTTAGTCCTTCCTTCAAGGGATGACTCTCATGATCCTCCTAGAGACCCTCCTGGTTCAGCTTCTGAACTTCCTTTTCTAGTATTATTTTTCCAACTTACCTATTCTGACAACAGAATAGATACATGAGGAGAGGGATGAGATCAGCATTCAAGACAGTGCCCTAGGCTTTAGGACAAAAAAAATCCAGATTCCTAAGCTTCAGTTCCTTCCTGCCCGCAGCTCCCTCCTTGCTTGCACTTCTACCTTCCCGCTTAAAGCCACACTACCAAGCTTCAGCTTTCAGATCACTTATATACCTCTTCCCTATGCTGGACCCTCTTTCTGGAATGCCCTCTTTTTAATATGCCCTCTTTATAATAATATAAAAGGCCCATGAGGATGACCACCAAAGTTAGAATCTTTCAGACTCCAAACCCTCCACCAGATGCTAGGAATGCATCATGTGAGCAGAAACAGATTAGTTCACATCCTCAGTGCACTCAGGAGAACAATGAGGGATTCAGATTGAGCTAAATGCTATGAAGGCCCAATACATATTACACCATATCACTATGATGAAACAAAGGAGCCTGATCTAGACTGAGGGCCACAGATGGATTTCCATGCCTAGAGCTTTAACTGCAGTCAGTAGGCCCTCTTCTGTCCACACACCTTTGCCACAGCCCTTCACCTACTACCTACAACAGCCCTCACCTCAGTATTCAAGGGGAGACGTGTCTCTCACGAGTCATGAGTGCTGTGAATGAGGCTGGAGGCCTCTGCAACTAGAGAAGAAGTCATAGGCCAATAGCAGAGAAGCCCAAAGGGCTCTTCCCATTTGTGCAGGTCCTGTGGGCTCCCTCCAGAAAAAGAATGGTGAGAGACTTCCTTAGAAGAGCCTCTCCATTTCTCCCTAGGAATTCTTAGCTTCTGTGGAATGGAGGTGGTAACTGTGGGGACAAGCGGGAGAGGGAAGCCTGGAGGCTAGGAGAAATGGGTAAGATCCAAGTCTGATTTTGCCTCCATGACATGGACAGGCCAGAACAGGAAGAAACTCTGCTAGGAATCTCAAAAGGCTGGTAGGCATCTCCAGCATGCATCTCCTCAGTGAGGGGGGAAAAAAGGCACTCTGGGTGAGAAGAGCAGAGAGCAGTTTGGTACTTAACCCATACAGGTGTATGTGGGCTTGTGGGGCAAGTATGGTTCGTCTCAGTCATATCACTCCCACCGGAAAGGGGCTTGGCTCCCTTTGCTGACTGAGAATGAATACACCAATTCCTCCTTGAGAGGAATAAGTTTAGGTGGGCCGCTAACCTAGGCCAGGAGAGGTTCCTAATGGAAGCAGGCTTGAATGGGGCTCAAGTCCAGCTGGGACTGAGGGGGAAAGGGGCAACTCCTTCCTTTGCTTAGCCTGCCAGTATCCTCTACAAGACAGGAGTCCGGCTAGAGTTGGAGGAAAACTGAAGTGGAAAGCCTTAATTCCACAAGGCCAGAACATCCGGTAAGTCCACTACATTCTACTTTTCCTTCTCTGCTTGCATCTTCATCTCAATCCCAGTGGATCCAGGGGAAAAAAAAAACATGAATCCCTTCTCACCCTCAGGAACCATAGAAGGTAGGGCGCTGCCAGAATCATCTCATAGAGCATGGGACCAGCATGTGGAGGGCGTCCACAAACCCACAGGAGGCTAAAGGCACCTTCTGTTCTCACCAAGGCAGGTGAGGCAAGGTGGCCCCAGGGTAGGGCTAGCCTGGAAACAACCAGCTTCTGGAAAGTGTCAGAGCAGTGCAGATCTTTCAAGTATCCCTTGAGAATGTGTGAGGGAAACCTGGCCCTCAGGAATGCTGATTCCACAGGGATTCCACATGCAAAGTCCATGCAACAGGGAGTCAATGAGATTTCATAAAGGAAAAATGTAATGTCACTGGGTGAAGTCTTTGAGGAATGGAGGATCATGCCTTCTAGAGAGTGGAAAGGAAATCCTCTGCATGTACAAGTCCAAAGGAAGGGAAGCCCTCAGGCAGCACATCTCTGAGTCCACACAGACAGACGAGTGGAGGCACTCGTCTCTCCATTTATGCAGAGTACCCAGGGGGTGCTGACATGACCCCAGTGATGGGCAGTAACCTAAGTACAGGGGTGCATGAAAGTAGGGGATATCTCATGACTACAGGAGAAACAAAATTTCTTGGGTCAGGGTAAAGTTCCTTGTTGGAAAAGTTAAGACAGCCAGTTGGGGGTACCAAGAAGGAAGGTGATGTAAAGGCCTGGGACCCTCACAGGATAATCATGAGGCTAGGGAGGAGGGCCATAACCAGGACAGCAAATTAAGAAGACCAAAGGCAGCTGCAGAGGAATGCAGGGAAGTCTGCAAGGCAACGACAGCTGGTGCTTCAAGGGAAAGATCCTGGACTTCTCCACACTCCTCAGCAGCCATAGCCTACGACAGCTTTGCCACTGTCTTTCACCAGACTTCTGCCTGCTTTCCCGCAGGCTGGTCTTCCAGGATGCATTGCCAAGGTCTTGTCCCCAAACCTTGGAGGCCCTCTGTCAACTGCCCTGCCCCCACCTCCACTTAATTGTTTGGTACATAAGTTTCTCCAACACTCCATTCCATCTATAGCACCCTCCTATTCTTCCCCCCTCCCCCTCCAAATACATTATGGAGGTATAACTCTAACGAACATTATTCCCCAATATAGCCACAGGGCTCTCTCCCAAATAACCTTAGTGTCTTTGCTCAATTCTCCTCCTCAACCTCCACTCCCCCACCCCATCGAATGTAAACGCAAAAAATGAAAGTAAAAAGGTCCCATCTGTCTTGTTCACAAGCTGTATTTTCAAGAACTAAAATGGCCTGACATTCAAATGATAATCACTAAGTGACTTGCCTATACTACTCTGCCAGGCATTGTCCTGGGCACTTCAGCCACTTTAACCTAGTGGGGGCTAATATTTCCAGTCTCACAGATGAGAAACTAAATACATATTACAAACAGAAGTTGATATTTATGTATAATCCCCCTTTATTTTTTGCACAGATAGCAGGCGCTATAATCCGAATCCCTCTCCCTTAAAAAATTTTTGAGGGCGCTATGGTCTCTTACATTCAGGGATGAGGGGAGTGGGAGACACTACATAATCACGCTCCCCGCGGTTGAAGGCAGCCAGGCTGGGAAGCCCTGCTTCCCAGTCCGGGGGCACCTCTGGCCACGCCTGGATCTCCAGAGCCGCAGGCCTTTCTATAGGGTGGTTAAGCCCCGAGTCAGCGTTTGATCACTCTCCGAAGCTTGACCCGGGAGTTCCTTCCTCTCAGTCTTTCAGTTTCTGCGAGAGTGCTCAGAGTTCTTGCCTAGACCGGAGCCGAGTGGCGGTCCAGCAGTGCACAAGACAATTTTTCTTTCATTCTGTGTTTCCCTCTCCGTAACTCATACCTTCCTGGACCAAGTCCTCCCGGAGTTAATCTCTGCGCTAAACTATCAGAGCACAGCCTCTTGAGGGAAGAGCAGCCCTCGGCGCATGGAAATGTGAGAGCTTAATAGTTCACCACAACACAGCTTATTTTAAAAATGTCATGCCGTATTTTTCCTGCGGCCCGCCGTTACTCACAGTTGGGACCTCACACTTACGAGCCCCCACCCCGCGTTCCCCTCCGAGCCACCAAGCGGAAGGGGCCGGGCTTGCTCTGTGCCACATAGGGGCGAGGAGCCGCTGGGCGATCTTTATGGGGACGTGTCGTACACTTGCCATCTTCCGCTTCTTAGATATCACATCCCAATCAAAGTTGGAGGAGCCCTTTTAAAAACTCGGTCGTGTTGGTCTCAGAATATGTTGTGTAGCGGAGGGGACCACGACGTTTTGTTATTTCACCTTGCCCGATGCACTGCAAGGCGCCGCCATCTTGAGCAGAAGTGAAACATGGGGGCCGCCATCTTGCCCGAGAAGACAGGTATTTCCGCTTCCGGCGGAGGGTTGGTCGTTCTTTTCTTCGGCAGGGCCGCGGCGGGAGCGGCTGCTTGCACATCTCTCTGAGCTATCCAGGTTCATCCTCGTCGCTGCGGCGACTCCCGTAACCTCCGTCGCAATGACTGAGCAGATGACCCTTCGTGGTACCCTCAAGGGCCACAACGGCTGGGTAACTCAGATCGCCACCACTCCACAGTTCCCAGACATGATACTGTCTGCCTCGCGAGGTACGAACTGAGGTCAGGGTCGAGGATGGAGGGGTGGGGGATAGTAAGAGTCTAGCGCCAGTCGTGTGGCTGTACCTCTGCCACGCTTTTCATCGTAAAATTTTCATCATGGAAAATTCCGTCCGGTATGTGCATTCGGGCGCGCAGACCCATGCTTAGGCCTCAGCCGGGATAAGCCCGCGAGGCGTCCTCTCTGCCAACACCGGGACAGGCTAGCCCACATCGACCAGGAATGTTGCAGAGATGGAAGCATTTTTAACCTCTTAACCTGCCTCCCTGCATTGTGTGCCCGGGAGCCTAAGAGTCGGGCGGAGCGGTGATGAGCCCAACATGCCATCTGAGTGCCCATGCTGAGACCCAGAGGCTGTTTCTGAGCTGCCGCCCGGCCCTTTGCCCCGTGTACATCCAGGGTGTACGCTGTTTGAACGGCACTCGTGTCTGGCACTTGCTTATTGAATGGAACCCGCTTTAGTGAAGTTATTCGGTACTGTGGCATGTAAAGCCACTTTTCTGGTGATAATTTCACCACTTAAGGCAACCTTAAGAAGTAGTTAACATGAAACCCCCAAAGTTAGTTTACCCACACCCAAGCTGCACTATTTATGTGCTAGGTTGGCACAGGTAAGGCACATGTTGAATAGGTTTGAATCTTGAAAGGGTATTTATAATCTTTGTAAAACTCTCATGGTAGTTCTTAACTCTGTCTGCTTCTTTATTCTAGAATAGTAAATCGGTTGGTCTTTACTAATAACTTCGTATTCTGTAGTTCCCTCTCTCCCTGTGTGTCCTCAATTTGGAGGGTATCCATGACCTTGAGAGACCCTGAATTATCCAGTAGGTGAGTTAATGGACTGGAATTCCTAACTGGGTTTTGTTTTCTGTTTTACCTCGCATTAGACAAGACCATCATCATGTGGAAGCTCACCAGGGATGAGACCAACTATGGCATCCCACAGCGTGCTCTTCGGGGTCACTCCCACTTCGTTAGTGATGTAGTCATCTCCTCAGATGGCCAGTTTGCCCTCTCAGGCTCCTGGGATGGAACCCTGCGCCTCTGGGATCTCACAACGCAAGTAGCTGCTCACTTAGCTCTGGGTCCTTGGGAAAGAAGCTGGGTTTAATTAGTTGTGCATAATTGCTGAGGCATGGTCTGGTTGAGCAGTTTTGTTAAGATAGTCCAGTTGGGAGATGAAATTTTAGACAGGTTTTGTCTTGTGGGCTCTGTCTTTGAATGGAGAGGCATAATAAAGAATCCTGGTGATGACAGATGACATTGTCAGCTGATCCCCACATGGGAATGAGGACATGTCCTGCAATTCTGAAAGGATTCACTGACATAATCAGCCAAGGACCTGCTATGATCTGCTGTGTTCTGGGTTATATGAATAGTACAGCTCCATTGGTACAGAACAAAGCCAGGGAAACTGTCTGGAAGAAGGTTTGCAAAGTTTTATCTAGAGAGTGACCAAGTCCTTCCTCTCAGGGGCACCACCACCCGCCGATTTGTAGGCCATACCAAGGATGTGCTGAGTGTGGCCTTCTCCTCTGACAACCGGCAGATTGTCTCTGGATCCCGAGATAAGACCATCAAGTTATGGAATACCCTGGGTGTATGCAAATACACTGTGCAGGTAAAGTAAAGGCATATGCAGAGCATATGTTGAAACGTCTCTCCCACCCTTAACTTTGGCCTTAACTGGTGATTTCATGTCTCATCTGAAATCTAAAGATGTTCTGGTGATCTTAAAAGATTTGGGTTCTGGATGTAAATACATGGCTGTCAACAAATACCCCATATAAGTGAGGGTGTGGGGGGGCATAAAATTTCATGGTGTACAGTGGTTTCCCCATATTTCCTTTCTCCACTGTAGGATGAGAGCCACTCGGAATGGGTTTCTTGTGTTCGCTTCTCACCCAACAGCAGCAATCCTATCATAGTATCTTGTGGCTGGGACAAGCTGGTCAAGGTGAGTTTGAAGCCAGGGTGTGGAGACTGTACTGGCCAGGATGTGTTCCCACGGCCTCCCAGGTAGTCATAGGCTTCAATTTTGAAAGCTTTTGTCCCTCAATTTACCTTTTCTCTAGCTGTTTTCTCAGTACAGATATTACGTTTTTGGTGTTTGGTCTAATGTAACTAGTCAGCAAACTCGGGATCACCTATAAGGCAGCACTTAGCATTTGTTCCTTGATTTAATTCTACTTGTCCTAAAGTGGCCAAGACAAGTACCTTAGTGTGTTTTGCTGATGTTAAAAAAGACTGCCATGTCCAGTAATGCTGTTTAGCAAGTGATGTGCCTTCTGCGTTTCACCTGATCACTCCTTAAGTTAGTGAGCCAGGTGTTTTACCTATGGACTCTGCCCTCAAACGTAGGTGTGGAACCTGGCAAATTGTAAGCTGAAGACCAACCACATTGGCCACACGGGCTACCTGAACACTGTGACGGTCTCTCCAGATGGATCCTTATGTGCTTCTGGAGGCAAGGTATTCAGGGGCAGGAGTCCTCTGCTCTGGTGGAGAAGAGGGTGGGGTGAACACTGGACAACAGTGTTTTGTGAAAGAAACCTAAGGTAATGACATAGCCATCCCAAGAGGTATTTCTGAAGCTCACTGTGAAAGTAGTATAAATGTGGTATACTGTTCAAAAGAAGAAGATCATTTTCTCTAAAGTTGGTTTCTTGAAGCTATTGATGAGGTTAGGGCCCTGTGTTTTAAAAACTGATAGTGATTAGAATTTGTCGGTCTCTTTCGTAGAGTTAGTGAGGTGTCGCACATTAAAGGGATGGTGTGGATGTAAATATCGGTACTTCAAGTAATTATCTAGGGGTGCCGGGGGAGTTTAGGGTACTGGGGGAAATAATTGAGATCGAGGGGATTTACTACTGGGAAAATAGACATTGCCCTGACTAACCTTCCTTGTCTGCCCAGGACGGCCAGGCCATGCTGTGGGACCTCAACGAAGGCAAGCACCTTTATACGCTGGATGGTGGAGACATCATCAATGCCCTGTGCTTCAGCCCCAACCGCTACTGGCTCTGTGCTGCCACAGGCCCCAGCATCAAGATCTGGGTGAGTGTTGGCAACTATAGAGGCTGCTAAACTCAGCAAACCCTAGCAATGTTTTGGTTTCTCAACATGTCATCTGACTCACTTAGTGGATTTGAGATGCTTAAAATGAATGCTGTCAGGCTGTCAGTGGAAACCCAGGAATAGTGAGTTAAGACTTAACTAGGGTGGGTGTTTGCCATTTACTAAAATGGTAGCAGTTTACTGAACTTCAGCACAGTTGATACTTTGGTCTAGAAAATTTTTTTGTTGAGGACACATTCTTTGTGCATTTTGGGATATTTAGCAGCATCCTTGATATTTTCCTCACTAGATGCTTATAGCAAATTGTCTTAGAAACAAACCCAAAATAACTCTAGCTAGGCATTTCCAAATGTGTCCTACAGAGTAAATATTCATACCCTGTTCAGAATCACTATTATGAAGGGGTTTGTTGTTGTTGTTGTTGTTGTTGTTGTTGTTGTTTTTAATAGATTGATTTATTTATACAAGCACTGGGTACAGTCAGAAGCGCGGGAGGGTGAGAGAATTCACCAGAGCCAGAGCGGGGAACAGAACAGGCAGATTGATGAAGTACACTGCTGAGGGGAGCAGCAGGTGGCAGGAGAGGTCTGTGCACCACATGGGACCCTCGCCCAGGCGGCTGGGGATCGAACTGGTGTTGCAAAGGCTGCGGGCAGTTTCACAACCCAGTGTTCAACCGCTGCACCACCGGGGAGGCCCTGAAGGGGTCTTTCTAGAGGGAACTTTTTAGTCCTCAGTTTTGTTTTTAAGCGTCAGAAGCATTAAACATTAATAGCATTCTTAACCCTGAGTTTTCCCCTCCTTCAGGATTTGGAAGGCAAGATCATTGTAGATGAACTGAAACAAGAAGTTATTAGTACCAGCAGCAAGGCAGAACCACCCCAGTGCACCTCTCTGGCCTGGTCTGCTGATGGCCAGGTAAGTGCATCTATCCTCCAGTGGCTATTTCCAGCTTATCTCTCTTCCCCTACCTGTTCTTAGTATGTCTAGTCTGCCAGCTATAAGACTAGTGGCTTTAATTTTAATGACAAAACTAGGTGGGTTGATTTAGGAGGCTCTCTAGCTGTGCTGGTGAGTGCATCAGAGGGAAAGTTGTGATCAGGGAGGGCAGTGGCTACTTTATTAACTTGACCAACTAATTCCTTAAGGAATTAGGTGATCAAAAGTGGGGATCTTATTTAAAAGACCATCACTGTGGGGGGGGTGCTGTAAGTTCCAAGGCTCTGACCTGACCTATTGCTGTCATTTCTCTCTTGCAGACACTGTTTGCTGGCTACACAGACAACCTGGTGCGAGTCTGGCAGGTGACAATCGGCACCCGCTAAAATATATGGCAGAGTATTAGAAATAAACTGGTTTTCTGAGTTTAAGTGTGCTTCTCTGATAAGCAAAAAAGTTACTTCCTAAGATATGCTGCTTACAGGTTTAAAAGAAGTCTAACAAGGCAATGAAATGCCCACTGACAGGCTAGGGAGAAAAGGCTTTAGGCAGAAGGGGGTGGGAGACTCAGCCTGTGAGTTTCCTATATAGTTGGGCTACCATCAGGTGTGACTTATGGGAAGATGCACAGGATAGTTTACCCAAGTAACCTTAAGTTTTTGTGTGTTGTGTAAAAAATCTCAGGGTCATCTTTTAAGCTTGGAGAAATTGTTCTCAAGCAAAAGGGACCAATTAAAGTAGTTGCAGATCAATTTAGAGTTTTAAGGTCTGAATCTGAACACAACAGGTATTTTTTTCATTTGCAAAGGTTAAGATTATATACAATTTGGAAGACTTCCTGAAACTTGCCATTTAGGGATAGTATAACAAATAGGCTTTGTTAAAATGGGTTAGTCTTTAAGCCTTTATTAAGGCTAGGTGACACCTTTCATTAATATTTGGAGACTTAAAAATTATGAGACAGTCTGGTGACATGAATGTGGTCAGAGCTGTCTTTAATAGCCAGATGACAAATGCAGTATATTGAAGCAGCTATCAAACCCTCCTCTTCCTCCCTCATGGGTAATGGTACGGAGGTGTCTTTTAGCTTAAAGTTCAGCCTGACACACTAACACAGAGACTTTGGTAAAGGCAGTGTTCCTAGGCCCTAGACTTGTGAGTCTCTGTTATAAAGATAGTTGGGCAATCCATAGTCCTAGGCCCTTGGAGCAGTGGTAGAAGGCAGCAAGTATTTTAGTAAACAGTACCTTTTACTAACCAGTAAGCAAATTTATCTGAGAAAGTCCACCAAATGTGACAGGTATAATTCCTACTTCTGTGGTGTTTCATTTACTGGAAAGCCACGGCCTCTAAATTCTACCCTGTTTGTCTAAAGGAATGAACTCCAAAAAGAAGCAAATAAACTTTATTTCCACAACACAACCCATCTTCCCTTTCCCCAGGAACATAAATTGACCTCAGCCACCAAAAGCAGAGGACAAGAGCTGATAAATGACAGAAGGCAAGGAGTTACTAGAAAAATAGATTATACCCAAGGCTCTCCTCCCAGGGATCCAAACCCCTGCACCCAGGCTCCTAAATCAGGGCACACCAAATGAAGGGTCGACTAGTGACATGTAAAGAGGCTGAAAACTGACAAAAGGAACTCCACTGCAAGAGGAAAGGTGCCTGGCAGTGAAAATAACCTGGGGGATAGGGTGGGGTGAGCTTTGCTCCTAGTGCTAGGAAAACAGGAAAATAATTTATTGGGTGGTGTAAATGGTACGTAGTTTGAATCATGTCGACCATTCCAGATCTCACTGAAGCTAAATTCTGGCCGGTCTATGGAGGTAGAAATTGGGGATGGAAGGAAAGCTGAATCCCTCCTACTTCCCCAGGAGAGTAGACTTCTTTATAACCCAGTTTTACCCTTTTGCCCAGCCTGCCTTCTCCCCCAGCCCCAAAGGCTTCCAAATCCCTTAGTTAAAATTTGCATCAGAAAATGGAATTGGAATGGGGGCTGTCATGAGTCTTGCTCAAACCCTCTATCTCAGAACTGACAAATGAAGAGCAGAAGTAGGGACAGGAGTTTAGTAATAAGATCACAATCTCCCCTATCCCATACTTAGACCCCTGGGTGGACAGAGGGGAGAGCAAATAGCTGTTGTCATCAGGGACCCATGCAGACCTGCTGGATAGACAGGTGAAAAGGCCAAGCTGCTGGAGGCCAGAGGAGTTCTTTAGGCTCCTAAAGGTAGAAGCAGGGGGCCTAGGTCAAGGGGGAGTGAGAAGCAACGAAGTAACAAATGGTGGGAGGAGCCTTTGAGCCCCCAAAACTTTCAGGCCACCTTCCACCACCACCCACCCCCCAAGTGCTGACTAGAGGGGCCCTTGCAGGTGGCAGGGTGATCAAGGGCAGAGCTTGATGCGGGTGCCCTTAGAGAGCACCCGGAAGAAAGGGAAGACGCGCTCGCCCAGGAAGGCAGCTGAGAACGTATGCACGTGGGCTAGAGTCTCTGCGTTGTAGAAGCCCAGGCGCCCAGCCTCATAGTCCAGGTACACTCCAAAGCGCCGTGGTTTCTCGCTTGGGCTCAGCAGTGTTTGCTCCGTTGAGCTCTGTGCCTGATAGCGTTTGCCATTGGTGCCCACACACCACACTTCCCGTTGGAGTAGGGGCTGCTGGGGCAGATGGAGCCGGCGGCGGCGATGATGATGGCGTGAGGAGCTGGCATCCCCACTGCCCACAGAGGACCCCCCAGAGCCCATCTTCTCCTTATGATGGGTTGATTCACGGGCCGCACCCACCGCCCAACCCCGCCGCCCACCCACCTCTACCTCCCAGTAGTGCCGACCAGAGCGAAAGCCCTGGGCCCCCAGTACACAGCAGTCAGCCGAGAAGCGCTTGGGATGATCAGCAACCTCCTGCCGCCGCTCTGCCAGGCGAACCCCCCGGCGGTCAGGGGACAGCATCAGGGCTGGGTGAGCCGTGTCGGGGTCCAATGTCAGGTCCACTTGGGAGGAGGGAAGACAAATATACCAGGGGTGGAACGACTGGTCCCCTTTAGTAGCCAACAAGGTTGGGCCTTTCCTGCTGCCTTACCCTTTGGCCCTCTCTCTCCCCTACCCAGCCTGTTCTCAGCTTCCCACTCTCCTTCCTAGAGGCCAGGCTCGGGTTCCAACGAACTCTTACCTCTTTCCCCACTCACTTCCAGGAACCAGCTGATCTCTCTGGGTCCTAGCTCTTCTAGTCCCCCATACACATACCTAGAAGCTACTCTTTTCTTGAAACCCCAGGTGAGCTACCTCTATCCTGAGGTCCATCCCTACTCTGCTCTACCCCCAGGACTCAACTTCTCTCAAAACCCATTGTCAGGTCTAGGACAGGAAGGGAAGGATCAAGGATGGTGCAAACAAGTCACCTCCCTACCTCGGGCAGCCTGACAGAACATCCGGCTCATTTTCCTCACGATGGCGTCTGTCAGGAAGTCATGGCTATGGGGTTGACACGGGTCAGGGGACCAGACCTCTGGGGGTTGCAGTTGTACCTCTTCACACCTAGAGAAGGGGACCGGGCAGGGGGTGGGACCAGGATATTCCCAGAGGGGAGAGCAGAAGCTGAGGGGAAGGAGAAGAGGGTCCAGGAAGCAGAAACTCGGGTCCTGGGGAAGGAAGGAGAGGAGCGGGATACCCAAGAGAGGCAGGGATGGGAGACCAGATACCAATGGATCACAAAGGATAAAGGGTAGGAACACACCTATTGAAAGTCTCCTTGATGTCCTGGGAATAACAAAAAGGGAGAGGGGAAAAAGAGACAAAGAGAGAGTCAGCTGCACAGGGACCATCCCTTTCTCCCAGTCTGAATCCAGCCAGAGAAAGGATTGCACTTGAACAGGGTGGGAGAAAGAGATACCCTCAAGGCACTCAATAAACGTGCATCCATCTGAATAATTCCTATGCCTCAGCATGCCTAATTCTTCTCATCCTGAATATAAGCCCACAAACAGAATTTTCAACCCCAGTAAAAGAATATTCACAGTATGACTTGGTCACTTTTTTAAAGATGTTACTGTCAAAAATTCTTTTTCAGCCCTCATTTAAAACCTTCTACAACTCAACCTTTATTTTCAGTGAGCATAATCATCACATGCCCACCTCATTTGGCATTAACTCTATCTCTAGCCTCAAAAAATCTTGGTCTTCAGGTTCTATCATTGTGGGTTACACCCAATGAGACGAGAAGCAGCTCTTAACAGGTGGCTGGTTAAGGAATGCCTGACAGACCAAACAAGGATGCTGCGGGGTGGACAGGGAAGAGGGCACTGCTCACCTGGAGCAGTCGCAGGCCCCCCTGCTGGCTCCGCTCCTGGGCCTCGGCCAGCAGGCGGCTCAGCTGGGCGGCCTGCTCTGCAAGGCGGCTAGCTGCTGCTCCTGCGCGCCCCAGCTGGGCTTCATGCATCTCTCTGAGGCGTCGTTCCAGCCCTGCCTGTTCTTCAGCCAGAAACCTTGTCAGCCGCCCAAACTCTGAGGCCACAGCTGCCAGTTCAGACTTCATCTGGCTCTGGGATGATGCAAAGGGGATTGAGGATAGCACCTCGACACACAGAAACAAACCTCCAATTTTGCAACCATTGCCCCCCAATCCAAGGAAAAGGAGCCCCACATACCCAGTTTCAGGAAAGGCCTGTGAATGAAAATAGGTCCTTTCCTTGCCTTACTAGGCACCACTTTCTCTCTCCCCGCACATTGATCCCAAACTCACCAACCTCTGTTCTGCCTGCAACACATCTACATCTTGGGTACCTAACTTCACCCATTCTTCATGTCTAAGCTAAAATATTTCTGGAGAGAGACCATCCCCATATAACTCATTTTAATTTGAAATGTTATGTATACATAACATTTTTAACATCCTTTCCCCCCACTACACCTTAAGTTTCTTGCTAACAGGGCAGGGTATGTCTATTTGCCAGAGGGTCTTCAAACCTTGATATAGCACCAATCACAGAATAGGTGGTTGGCAAAAAAAATTTAAATAAATTCAGGAATCAAGATACGAAGTTAGGATCCCAACACCAGAGACCTTGGAAAAGGGAGACCTCTTTCCACTTAGATGAGGAGTTGGCCAGTTTTTTCTGCAAAGGGCCAGATAGTATTTTTACTTTAACAGTCAAAAGGCAAAATCAAGGATGTTCTTACATAGGTACTTCTATAGATAATAAAAGAAAACTTCTGAGTCTCCCTGGTGGCACAAAAGGTTAAGACGAAACCTATGAAGCTGTCCACAGCCACTGCAGCACTGAGTTCGATCCCTGGCCAGGGAGCTACCCACATGGCACAGCAGACCTCTCCTGATTCACCCACTGTTCCCTTTAGCAATGTGTTTCAGTTAATCTGCCTGTTTTGTTCCCCACTCTGTCTCTGGTGAATCCTCTCACCCCCCCCCACACCTGTGGCCTGTACCCCAGTTCTTATATGCATAAATAAATAAATCTTTTAAAGAAAATAAAACTTCTGCCCACTCCCACCCATTTGTCTGGACTAGGTGATACTGGATGGTGGCATGTTTTGTTTTGTTTTGGTTTTAGCCAGATTATCAGAGACATTCCCGGGACAAAGAGTAACAGGCCAAAGTGGGAAGAGGAGTCTTGACTAATTACATGGATGAAGGAAATAAGTTTCATTCTCTCTGCCCCAGTGACACTCAGATCCTGACACCTCTGTACCCCAAAAGTCTCAACCTAGGGAGTCGGCTAGAGGCAAGAGGATTCCCCAGTTCCATCATCAGTGCCTGGCAGTGGCCAGCAATAGAGTCCCAAATGTTCATGTGACAATTTAGGTCCTAGGAAGTGGCAAGGTCCAGAAACTGACTAGGGTGCTGGGCATGGGAGTGTGTGGGGAAGAGCGTGGACAGAAGATATGTCTTAATTTGATCACCAAAGCTCACAGTGACAGGCTATTCCAGTACCTAGTGGACTTACAAACAGGTAGTGGGTAAGGGGTGGGAATTACGGGGAATAATATATACAAATACTCCTTGGAGAAGGGTGAGCAACAATGAAAAAAAGACTGAGAAATGGGCCTCCCTGATGGTGCAAGGGGTTAAGCAGAGCACAGCACTGTGAAGCTATCCACAGCCTCTGCAGCACAAGTTCAATCCCCTGCCCACCAAGAAGTAACCCACATGGCACAGCAGACCTCTCCTGTTTCGCCCACTGCACCCCTCAGCAGTGTGCTTCATTCAGTCTGTCTGTTCTGTTCCCTACTCTGTTTCTGGTGAATCTTCTCACTCCCCACACCTCTGGCCTGTACCCCAGTTCTTATATGCATAAATAAATAAAACTTAAAAAAAAAACAAAACTGGGAAACTCTACAAGATGTTTGGCCTCTACAATGCTAATATTCACTAATTTCTCCCCTCCATTAAACACTGGCCCTCTCTCATGAGTGGGGTAGCTCTGCCTACCACCGGTCATCTATACTGGGCCCTAGGACTTCTCTGATGACTGTTATGTGGACTCTACCTTACTTCCTGTGCCCTCTGTGGGCACAGCTGCATGAGGCACCAGTTCTAGGAGTAAGTATCTGGGGTGGTAAGCCTACGCTACAGCTTTGGCCCAAGCACCCAACTTGTCCAATCTAGGCCATTTGTCATTCCTTTTGGAACCTAGGAATGAGCATGTCTCCTGATTCTCTAAGATCCATCTCTCCCACACCTGGGTGTCCCCTCTTCAGAGGATCTAGTCACTACTTGTGACTACCTATTCTACCCTATTCTAAACACATAGCCAGTCAGCCCCTATCAAGGCATTTACCAACCTTCAGTTCCGTCACCCGCCTCTCCTCCTTGGCCTTCATCTTCTGCACAGCCTCTAGGTGCTTTCTCAGCGGTTCCACATGCCCCTGCAGTTTGGCCTAAGGAAATGAGAAAAAGGTTCATGGTCTAAGCTGAGATGTCCCTGCTCTCAGAGCCCACCTCCCCTATCCTCCCTGCAGTGGGCTGCAGTTTAAAGTCTGATCCCTGCCATGGGTACCAAATAAACATCATACTCCCTCCCTCCCTCTTTCTTCAGATGATGACAAAGGTCTCCAATCCTCATGTGGGCCTACACCTGAACAGCAGCTCTGGGTGTGCTATTTCTCAGGTGGGATTCTTACAACTACACAGTTCCACATTCAGACCTGGGGCAGATCTGGCTTGAGCCTCTCAACCCAGGAAGTCCTTCCATAAGATTGTTCCTACCAATGGTCCCTTTCCCCTCATAAGCCACCTTTTTTACCTTGAAGTTTTCTTCTGATGATGCCGTGCCTCGTGCTAAAAGTCTTTCAATTCTCCACTACTTACAAAATTTGAGGTTTCACTGCTTCTACATTTTCAGGCCTTCCTCCTACACCTAACCCTTCTACATTGATTCTTAGTTTTAGCCACATAAAACTATTTGTCTTTTCCTGAGTATAATTTCACACCTTTATCCATGATGTTCCACTGCCTGAGACTGCTTATGTCCATTTGGTCCCAGGCATTCTTCTTCTAAAATCCAATTAAGGGCCTCCCTGGTGCTACAGAGGTTAAAGACAATGCTGTCAAGCTATCGCCAGCCACTGCTGCATCAGTTCAATGCCTGGCAGGCCAGGAAACAACCCACATGAATCACTCTGGCTTACAACCCAGTACTTGCATGCATAAATCAATCTTTAAAAAAACAAATAAAATAAAGTCCAATTAAGGATCTCCCTGGTGACCGAGGGGTTAAGTCTCAATACTACTACTCCATGACCTGAGTTCGATCCACGCCCAGGGAGCTAACCCACATATGGCACAGCTACCTCTCCTGTCTTGCCCCTGCTCGTCTTAGCAATGTATTTCAGTAGATCCGCCTGTTCTGCTCCCCACTTGTCTCTGGTGAATCCTCTCACCCCTGCCCCTATGGCCTACACCCCAGTTCTTCTATGCAAAAATTAAATTAAATTAAATTAAATCCAGTTAGCTGACTAGAGTCCTAATCCTCCACATCCTAGCTTCCTCTGTGGCCCCAAAGAACACGCATAATACCTTTATTATATTTCCCAGGCACTATAATCACTTACATGTGTGCCTCCTCCACAACAAAGAAGCTCCTGGGACAGGGACTCTACTTATTTTAATATCTGTGTTTCTTTCCGTCCATCTGCTTTCTCTCTCGGTCAATTTTAAAATGGGAATTGGGGCCTCCCTGGTGGTGCAAGGGGTTAAACACAGCACTGTGAGGCTAGCCGCAGCTTCTGCAGGACAAGTTCGATCCCTGGCAGGCCAGGGAGCTACCCACATGACACAGCAGATCTCTCCTATCTTGCCCGCTTGCTCTCCTCAGAAGTGTATTTCAGTCAGTCTGCCTGTTCTGTTCCCCACTCTGTCTCTGGTGGATCCTCTCACCCCCCGCACCTCTGGCCTGTACCCCAGCTCTTGTATGCATAAATAATAAATCTTTGAAAAAAAAGATTATTGGGAATAACAGAATCTACATCTTATGGTCTCTATACTTAGCAGTGCCTGGCATGTAGCTGAAGAGCAGTAATTGTTACCTATAGTTCCCTCCTAGGTCGTATGCTGCCAAAGATAGCCTGATAATGACCCTTGAACTAAAGAGTAAAGAGGTCACTGACCCAGAGTACAAAAAGCAGTACTGCACAGGGTAAATGGACTTAGAAAGGAAAAAATACAGTAATAAGGCCATAATCAATCCATTACATAAAAATAGTGTAAACCACAAGTTTTGCCTTTTTATATTACTTTTTACTGTTCTCTAGTAGTGTCAATAATTTCAACTCTACTAATCCAGGACACTTAGATATCCCATTATTTTTCCTAAATTGTTGACAAAAATGTCATAAGCCCAAATCCAAACAGAATATTATTTGAAAAATTTCCAAAGACCTTTAACTTTTTAGCTTGATTTATGAATATTTGTGTTAATACCAATTTAGTAAAAAAAAAAAAAAAAAAATTCTACAAAACAATACTGTGACAAGCTAGTGCTGTATACATACCCTAAAGTAATAAACTGTTTGCTTATAAAATAGCCTGTAGGTTAAAAGGGAATCACTCAAATTAGTTCTATGTAATGAAAGTTTTATATATACACACACACACATACATTTACTGATCAGTTAAATGTCAGAAATTTGTCTACATGGTCTCCTTGAACTGCAGAGCCTTACTGGGCTGGTATTCAATAGATGTGGCTAACACAAATTAAATCCAGTTTCAGAAGTTCTCGGGAAGAATCCAGCAGGAGGAGGGGGGGAGAAAAGATGGACTACCCATGGAGAGTCCACCTCAGGATTCAGTTAATAAAGTGACTGCATATTGTGTTGGGTACACTTAATTAAGAATCAAAGGATATAAAAGAGAAGGGCAAAAACACTTGCAACTTCCCTAATAATGTAGAAACTAGAAGCTAGGCAATGTTATCAATTCAATGATTCCCTTACTAGTCTGGGTTTTCTAAAGGTACTTCCCCCCATCATTAATTCAGAATCTCTAGTGGTATGATCCACCGTAGTTTTGATGTAACATAGACAATCAGCGAGGGTTGACAGCCACTGTGTAGACGTAACAGTTATTTGTCATCAGGGAATTTAGGTTTGTCTTAACTATTCTACTCATAGCTGAGAAGCCCCCCCACAATTGGGGTAATGTTAATACCCAACAGAGGTTACTCTAGAAATCAGAAGGTATGAAAACACAACTCATAAAACAAAAAAAGCTCTGCACAAATCACAAAGATGCTATCCTCTCCTCTGGTCCCATGGCTTCAAATCTATCAGGACATTTACTAAGTAGTGCTATTTGTACTGTCTCACAGAGAAATCTCCTTCACCTATGTCCAAAGAGAATCAGGTTCTCAGAAGTAGGAGGCAGCTATTAACCAACTAGAATCAGCCTCCAAGAAAACTCATGTCAGAAAAGTCAAACAAACAAATGACATCGACATCCAAATGGTTGGTGACAGCATATAGATTGGGTGAAGAGAGATCATAACCAAATCCTTCACTTATTAGTTGCTGTGTGGACTGGTGTGTATTACTTAAATCTGTTTCCCAACCTGTAAAATGGGAATAGAAACTACATCAAACTCACTAGGTTGTTTCAGTTTTAAATGAAAAGTGCTTAATACAGTGCCTGGTGTACATAGTAAGTGTTCCATAACCATTAACTTTCAATCTTGAAGAAGTTAATGATAAAAGATACTCAGAAACTTACCCAAATGCAGGCTGTCTGATTAAAAAGCCTCTCCCTTTTAAAAAAAATTCCTAGAGAAGGTAAGTAGCTCTGATCATACATCAGATTGAGGCAGACACAGAGAGAGTCCTCAGGGGTAGAATCAAGTTGTATCACGGGTTGGGGGAACCCATTAGAAGGCAAGTGCATTTGGGTTTGAACCTCAAGATCTTATCTCTGCTCCTGTTTCTCAGAGCCCATTCTTGTTCTTTTAGGTTCCAAGTTCTTTCCATCTCTAATGGCCTCAGTCATGGATAAACCTAAGACTTGCAGGAAAATAAGACTGGTAGTAAGGCCCTAAGGGCCTGTCACCTGAACCCCTACACTTAGGTACAGTGGAAGAGTGAAAGAGAAGTGGTTTTTCCCCAGAAGGCAGTTTAGTGATACATCACTGGCTTTGCCTGATTTTCTTTGAGGAAGCCAGTCTTCTCTGATCTTCACTATGTCTGCTTTGTCTGTGTACAGGGTCCTTCTCATTCTAAATCCCACCTTGGTGCCAGAAAAGTGCTTAGAGAGAATCAGCTCACCAGTACTTGAGGTTCTTTGGGGGGTAAAACCTTCCCAATTCCTCTTACTTCCTCTCCGCCCCACTAAACTCCCATCTTCTCCTTCTCTCACCTTGTACTCCTGCACCACCTCCTCCAACGGCACCACACTGTGCTGCTTGTGGCTCCTGGATTCTCGGCACACGACACAGATGGCCTCTTCATCCACCTCGCAGAAGAGCTTCAGAGCTTCTTGGTGTTTGGGACAAATGCCCTGATCGTTTCCACGACTGCCTCGACTAGGGGTTGGGTGCATCTGCCGAATCACCTGGACCATGTTGGCCAGCTGCAGGTTGGGGCGGAAGCTCCGCCTGGGAAAGCTTTTTCGGCACTGAGGGCAGGTGAAGCACCTCCGAGGGGCTGGAGGCGGGGGCAGTGGGGTGACGGGGTCTAGCTCCTCTTCCTCATCCTCCTCCAGCACTTCCTCCTCGTCCTCCTCATCTTCCCCCCTCAGGTCCTCCTCCATGTCCCCCAAGTAGTAGTCCAGATCTTCCTCCTCATCCTCCTCCTCCCACACGTAGTCCATGTTGTCCCAGTTGGACCCACCCATGCCACTGGTCCAGAACACACCCTCCTCTTCTTCCTCCACCTCCTCCTCCAAGTCGCCCTCATAGTCTTCATCCCGCATAGGGGTGTCCCACCCACCACCGGCCCCCACAGCCTCTACTTCTTCCTCCTCTCCGTCCTCCTCCTCCTCCTCCCGGTCTAACTCGTCCCTGTCCTCTTCATCCTCCCCTCCCCACAACTGGGTTACACACACTCGGCAGAAGTTGTGCCCGCAGCCGATGGACACCGGGTCCGTGAAGTAATCGAGGCAGATGGCGCACACTGCCTCCTCCTGAAGGGTCTGCACAGGGTTGGGTGCCATGGCAACGGCAGCCATCTTAGTGTCCACTCAGCCAGTGTAGACGGGCAGTGCGGGGGGGTGGGGGGGCGGGGGGCTTCCCTCTCAGGCGCCCTGACGACCCGGCCCCACCCCCAGCCCTGCCTTCCCACGCCTGGCCTCAAGTGCAGCCAGAAATGTCCTACCGACAGCCCACCCGTCCACAGAGTTTCCTACTCCCGCGACAACCGTGTCTCTGCAAAGGGAGGGGACAGAGCTAATCGCTACCGCCAAGTCCCTCAGCAGGCCCTGAGTGCAAATCTGCCCCAACGCTCTCTTGGCTTCCTCATAAACCCCCGCCCCTCCTCACTTCCTGGCTCCGCCCCCTCACTTCCTGCCTCCCTCCCAATACTTCCGGCGCTGCGAGCCACCCAAACTTGGGAGTTCCCTCCGCGGTTGCGCTAGGCCTCCTTCCACCCCCACCCTTGCACCCGCCCCGGCTTCTGGACGACAGGAAACGGCGAGGAGACGCTCTAGCAAGCCCTCGGGAACAGGGCGGAAGGGCTAGAATGACGGAGGCCTACGTCTGTGTGATGCGGGGGAGCGGGGAGCCGCAGAGGAAACTGAAGACCCGGCCTTCCCCATCCCTCGCCACTGCATAGAAACTTCGGGCGACAGTAGACGCGCTTGATGGCCGTCCGTCCTCAACACCACCACCGCCTCGGCCGGGCTCATCCTACCGGCCGAGCGCACAGGACTGCCAGGGACTCCCCTCGGATAACGGCGGAAGCGGAGGGGCGGGCCCGCGGGGACGTTGAGGCACTTCCGGCCCTTCTAGGCGGAGGACTTTGTTGTTTGAGGACCCGGCGCTTCCTCAGAGACAGATCAGGGGGCGGGGTCCAAAGAGCGGCTGTGAGGGTGGGACGGCGGCCCTGCCCCGCGCCCTGCCCCGCGCCCTGCCCCGCGCGCTGCCCCGCGCCCTGCCCCGCGCGCTGCCCCGCGCCCTGCCCCGCGCCCTGCCCCGCGCCCTGCCCCGCGCGCTGCCCCGCGCCCTGCCCCGCGCGCTGCCCCGCGCCCTGCGGTGGCTGGCGTTTCCACACCCCATTTAGAAACTACCGTCTGGTCACTGTTGCATCATTTCGATGAACTTTCCCAACTGCCCATCAGTAAAGGAATGCTGACAAATCGTTGCATTTACGCAGAACACTTTCTTTTCCAGATGCATTTTTAAGCGAAAAAGGCGAGCGGCTGACTCTACACTAAGTTAGGTTGTTAAATGTATTTGATAGCTTTATTGCTTAATATAGAGTAATACTATATCAGTATCAGTGTTGTGATAATGGAGTTAATGTTAAAGCGATCAGAATGTTACTTAGTACGCAAGCACGTGCGGTTTGGCTGCCCGCTGTTACGTCAGATTGTCTCTCTGACAGAACCCTGTGCGGGGTTTCTCTGGGGAGGCAGCGTCCGGAGCGGGAAGGGTACTTTTCCACATATGTCGTGCTGCGTCTTGAATTTTGAACCAATCAGTGTGTTATCTTCAAGGGGAAATACTTTTTTTTTTTTTTTTGTAAGTGCCGCTGACCATTCACCAGACCTCTGAGCCCCGCATGCCCCGCACCCAGACAGCCGTGAGGGGCGTCTTCGTGGCGCGCCCGTCCAAGGGCGGTGGCTCGGGCTGGGTGGGCGTTATGGGGTTTACTTGGAAGAATTCTGTGCGGGAATGTAAAACAGTAGTACCCAGAGCGTCTCTGCCAACTACATATGCACGATAGAAATAATACTTGATGTTTTTGAAAAATATCTTGTTGAAAAAGAAAAGTGCTTAGTTTCAGGGCCGTGATGCTCGTCTGGACTCTACACCTGCAGCGAGTGACGGGCACGCGCGGTCCGGGACGCTGGGCGCGCAGCATTTACCCTCTCCAAGCGCCGGGGAAACTTGGCGGGCGCGCGTACTTCCTAAAAGGGGTGGCCCCAAGCCTCCAAAACATTACTCCTCCCGGGTGCACTGGGCGCGTGGCGGAAGCCGCCAGCTCAGCGAAGACTTGACAAGTGCGGCCACGGGCCGAGAGCTGCCGGCCCGCCTGCGCGGGGAGCCCCCTCCGGGTGCGAGCGGCTCGCGTCCAGCCCGTTCCTGGGCCCGCGTATGCTCTAAGCGGTGTCGCCCGGGCCCGTACCCCGTCGGTTTCCGTAGTGTAGTGGTTATCACGTTCGCCTCACACGCGAAAGGTCCCCGGTTCGAAACCGGGCGGAAACAGGTCCTCCTTTTAATCACTTCCCGCCTGGGAGGAAAGTGGCCAGTCAAGTGAAAGGCAGGCCCTGCGCGTGGATCCACATCTCTTTTTTGGAGAAACAGGCAGTGAGGCGGCAGCTCGGCAGAGCCACTTGTCACCGCAGGTCCTTTATAAATGTTAGCAGCGTAAAGTCAGTCCTCGAACCTCAGCTGATCACTTACTCTTCCCCTCGGAAGCCCCCAGGATCACTCTCCGAGGTAGAATGGTAGAATGCGACATAGACTTCAGATCCCCATATTTAGGGAAAAGGACAGAACCAAGCACACAGGAAACACTCCCTAATACTTAATGTAGCTGTTTTTCAATGTGCCCAAAATCCTGAGGCTGAAGCTTGGTTTCCTGAGGGGCAAACAGACATGTCGCATGTGCCCGGCTAGCTCAGTCGGTAGAGCATGAGACTCTTAATCTCAGGGTCGTGGGTTCGAGCCCCACGTTGGGCGACAGAACTTTTGGAAGACTACCGTGCGGGGAACTTTTGAATCAAAAACAACGTCATTCCCCCTGCCCAGACGGGAATGAGCTGTAGCACCTGAGACTGTGGACGCCAGAGACGGACAAGAGCTTACAGTCGAGAGGGAGTCCTAACCCAAGAGCTCTCCTGGCCGTAAGGGAGTAACGGAGAAGCGGGCATCTGTTCCTAGGTTCATTCTGCCACTTGCCCAGCTGTCCCAAAAGAGCTCCGAGGGCGCTGCTTGTCATCACGGATTCGCAACCACCCTCGTAAGTGATTATAGTGGTGAGACTTCCGTCCAACCCTTGCCCTCGATATTTAGATTTCCCTTCAAGAAAGAGGATTTCTGGAATCTTAGAACCTTGCCTTCAGTCTATTCTCTTATGCTCGATTTTAAAAGTCTATCTTTCGTGAAATGCTGCTCCACACATGTCACATGCCAGCCTCCACATGTCCCCTCCTCATTAATGTGAAAATATCCGTTATTTTGCAAAATACCCTAATTTAAACATCTGCAATTTACTGGTTTCACGAAATTCTTCCTTGACTTCACGTGAAATTCATTCTTTTGTGTTAACTGTTTCCCTAGACCTGCAAATTCGACCTGTTTTGTATTTTCCAGCTGCAGAGGTCTCCCCGACATACACACCAGACATAAAAGAAGTCTGTTCATCATATATAGTGGTTTATACAACTTGCTAAAGAAGAATGACCTTAGCATCACCTTGTATCTCAGAAGTGTGTGGAAGGGGGAGTTAGCGATTTAGTATGACACTCTCAGCGGGCAGTCCAGAATGGCCTTGGTCAGTTTGTAAAATAGACAGTTTCTAATATAGCCCTAGTTCATGTGTTCCTGGAGAGTTACTGTTATTATAGTCTTACGGTCTTATGACAGAAACTGGTGCTGGAAATAGAACTTTGACATTTCGTTTTGCACAAATACTTGCAGATTCGTTTGCAAATTGTGATTTCAGATTCATTTTCTCCCATATTTAGTGGAACTAAAAACTATTCCGCTGAAGCAGCCCTTTCTTTTCCTGGTCTCCTAGTAAGACTAGAGCATGACACCCGAGGTGTTTTGTATAGCTATGTTGACGCAAGAGGCTGCAAGGGAAAAGGGACTATGCAGGCCCTTGGTGACCACCTGGAACTAGATAGACTCCGAAAAGAGGACCTTTGGCCCAAAGCCCTAGTAGAGAGGGGGCTTCCACCTCACGAACACGAGAACCCTACTCAGCACTACTCAGCCTCCTTCCGCAACTGGAGTCAGCGTCAGCAGGGTGAAAAACATTTAGTAATATTAAACAACCACTAGTATTCTTAACTGTGCATAAATGTAGGTATACATGTTACCTGCGTGAAGCTTCATATCAGTTCAGGACATTGAATGCTAGGATTGATGAGTTCTATTTTTATTAAATACTTAAAAGAATTCACTATATTTTTCAAAACTTAATAAAATGTTCAGTTTTATTTAAATAGCATTGACTTTATATTTATATTCAATTCTTTCAACTTCCCCCCCACTTTTTGTTATTTTAGTTCATTTTTCATTTCTATTAATAAGTCACTTAAACTTAACCATCTGGTATTTCAAATTTTTCTTCAAAGGCTAATAGATAATTTTGCATAATTTAGAAGAAACTTATGATTATTTTGTACGTATGTAAAATTCTGTAATTTCCTTTTGCTTATTTATATTTAATTTACATTTTGACAAAAATGTACTCAACTCATATATTTTAAATGCAGTTTGCATTTCGTTAATCCTTTAGATTTTACTGCCAACAGAGCACAAATTAAGAGACCATGAAACCTCGGGTTGTCTCCCTCCTGAGAGACCAGCTGCTTTTATTCACTTCCTTTTTAAGTTTTATGTATTTTTCTTTTTAATTGCTAAGTGTGACAGATTTTACCACTAACAGGTCGCGCTCTGCAATATGATAAACAACTATTACTAATAGTTATGTGAGTACGGATATTTTACTACGAAGCGGGTCCAAGGACTCTGACCAGACAGGTGTTACTGGGAGACCCGGGTGGTGGCCGTTGTCATAGGACTATAGAGCATATTTAAGCAGACGCCGTAGCATGTGTTTCCGTAGTGTAGTGGTTATCACGTTCGCCTAACACGCGAAAGGTCCCCGGTTCGAAACCGGGCGGAAACAGTGGTTTGTTCCTTTTCATTTGTCGGGACTTTTCAACTATTTTGCATTGAAATGTGTGTGTGTGTATAGGTAAAAGTGTTTTTATTCTCGCTTAGTCCGTATTCCTGTCTTTTCCAGTCTATTAGCACTTCACTCACCCATTGCGTTCCAGGTCAGTTCTGTACGTCTGTAGTACAAGAAGGTGGTTTATGTCATTTAACTGCATCTAACGAACCCTCAGTCCCAGCCACTCAGAATGCGAGAGGCGGAGGAAACGCCACGCAACGACAGTAAAATAACAAACTGTAGGGAGGAATGAGTTGGAAACACAGGATGAAAATCAGGAAAAGTGTTCACAGAAACCGCAGTAGCAGCGGTAATCACACCTTCCACAGTCTGACTGGGTCTGAGCTTATGTGTTTGTTTTCTTTTTTTTTAAGATTTATTTTATTTATGGACCCAAGTACAGGGGTATAGGTGTCTGATCCACCTGTCTTAAGGGTCTCCCTTCGAGGAAAAATCTTGTGAGGAAGGTGATGTTGTTGCTCCCGTTTTACCGATTAGGCCACTGTCACACGGGTGGATGAAACGTGCGGAGGAGGAACTACAAGGGCGAGAGAAGAGGACAAGAAACAAGGCACCCAGAGAAAGTCCAGGGGCGCTCGGCGGGAGCAGCCGCGCACTGGCTGGTGTGGACGCCGCGGCTCCCGCCAGCGCGCGCGTCAGGCTCCGGCTCCCGCCCGCCTCAGCGCGCGCCTCCCGGGGCCCGTCGCGCCGGCCACCGCCGCTCCTCTGCGGGCGCCCGACGCTCCAGCCCTCAAGTGCTCCCCGGCGCACCCCACGAGCGTCTGCCCCGCCTTGCAGCCCCCCCACCTCCTCGGGGTGCCCTCCGCGGAGGGAGGGACCTGCCCAAAGGGCACTCAGTCTCCCCAGAGGGATCACGGCCAGGCGGCCTCTTCGCCGGCGCTGGGCAGCGGGCTCCAGAGGT